TGTGGGGTTGTGCCACACGGCTCTCTCCGCTGTGTTTGTGGGGTGGTGTCACACGGCTCTCTCTGCTGTGTTTGTGGGGTGGTGTCACACGGCTCTCTCCGCTGTGTTTGTGGGGTTGTGCCACACGGCTCTCTCTGCTGTGTTTGTGGGGTTGTGCCACACGGCTCTCTGTGCTGTGTTTGTGGGGTTGTGTCACACGGCTCTCTCTGCTGTGGTTGTGGGGTTGTGCCACACGGCTCTCTCCGCTGTGTTTGTGGGGTTGTGCCACACGGCTCTCTCTGCTGTGTTTGTGGGGTTGTGCCACACGGCTCTCTCTGCTGTGTTTGTGGGGTTGTGTCACACGGCTCTCTCTGCTGTGTTTGTGGGGTTGTGCCACACGGCTCTCTCCGCTGTGTTTGTGGGGTTGTGCCACACGGCTCTCTCTGCTGTGTTTGTGGGGTTGTGTCACACGGCTCTCTCCGCTGTGTTTGTGGGGTGGTGTCACACGGCTCTCTCTGCTGTGTTTGTGGGGTGGTGTCACACGGCTCTCTCCGCTGTGTTTGTGGGGTTGTGCCACACGGCTCTCTCTGCTGTGTTTGTGGGGTTGTGTCACACGGCTCTCTCTGCTGTGTTTGTGGGGTTGTGCCACACGGCTCTCTCCGCTGTGTTTGTGGGGTTGTGCCACACGGCTCTCTCTGCTGTGTTTGTGGGGTTGTGCCACACGGCTCTCTCTGCTGTGTTTGTGGGGTGGTGTCACACGGCTCTCTCCGCTGTGTTTGTGGGGTTGTGCCACACGGCTCTCTCTGCTGTGTTTGTGGGGTTGTGTCACACGGCTCTCTCTGCTGTGTTTGTGGGGTGGTGTCACACGGCTCTCTCCGCTGTGTTTGTGGGGTTGTGCCACACGGCTCTCTCTGCTGTGTTTGTGGGGTTGTGTCACACGGCTCTCTCTGCTGTGTTTGTGGGGTTGTGTCACACGGCTCTCTGTGTTGTGTTTGTGGGGTTGTGTCACACGGCTCTCTGTGCTGTGTTTGTGGGGTTGTGTCACACGGCTCTCTCTGCTGTGTTTGTGGGGTTGTGTCACACGGCTCTCTCCGCTGTGTTTGTGGGGTTGTGTCACACGGCTCTCTCTGCTGTGTTTGTGGGGTTGTGTCACACGGCTCTCTTTGCTGTGTTTGTGGGGTTGTGCCACACGGCTCTCTCCGCTGTGTTTGTGGGGTTGTGCCACACGGCTCTCTCCGCTGTGTTTGTGGGGTGGTGTCACACGGCTCTCTCCACTGTGTTTGTGGGGTTGTGTCACACGGCTCTCTCCACTGTGTTTGTGGGGTTGTGCCACACGGCTCTCTCCGCTGTGTTTGTGGGGTTGTGCCACACGGCTCTCTCTGCTGTGTTTGTGGGGTTGTGCCACACGGCTCTCTGTGCTGTGTTTGTGGGGTGGTGTCACACGGCTCTCTCTACTGTGTTTGTGGGGTTGTGCCACACGGCTCTCTCTGCTGTGTTTGTGGGGTTGTGCCACACGGCTCTCTCTGCTGTGTTTGTGGGGTTGTGCCACACGGCTCTCTGTGCTGTGTTTGTGGGGTGGTGTCACACGGCTCTCTCTACTGTGTTTGTGGGGTTGTGCCACACGGCTCTCTCTGCTGTGTTTGTGGGGTTGTGCCACACGGCTCTCTCCGCTGTGTTTGTGGGGTTGTGTCACACGGCTCTCTCTGCTGTGTTTGTGGGGTTGTGCCACACGGCTCTCTCTGCTGTGTTTGTGGGGTTGTGCCACACGGCTCTCTCTACTGTGTTTGTGGGGTTGTGTCACACGGCTCTCTCCGCTGTGTTTGTGGGGTGGTGTCACACGGCTCTCTCTGCTGTGTTTGTGGGGTTGTGTCACACGGCTCTCTCTGCTGTGTTTGTGGGGTTGTGTCACACGGCTCTCTCTGCTGTGTTTGTGGGGTTGTGTCACACGGCTCTCTCTACTGTGTTTGTGGGGTTGTGTCACACGGCTCTCTCCGCTGTGTTTGTGGGGTGGTGTCACACGGCTCTCTCTGCTGTGTTGTGGGGTTGTGCCACACGGCTCTCTCTGCTGTGTTTGTGGGGTTGTGCCACACGGCTCTCTCTGCTGTGTTTGTGGGGTTGTGCCACACGGCTCTCTCTGCTGTGTTTGTGGGGTGTGTCACACGGCTCTCTCTGCTGTGTTTGTGGGGTTGTGCCACACGGCTCTCTCTGCTGTGTTTGTGGGGTGGTGTCACACGGCTCTCTCTGCTGTGTTTGTGGGGTGGTGTCACACGGCTCTCTGTGCTGTGTTTGTGGGGTTGTGTCACACGGCTCTCTCTGCTGTGTTTGTGGGGTTGTGCCACACGGCTCTCTGTGCTGTGTTTGTGGGGTGTGCCACACGGCTCTCTGTGCTGTGTTTGTGGGTGTGCACACGGCTCTCTGTGCTGTGTTTGTGGGGTTGTGCCACACGGCTCTCTCTGCTGTGTTTGTGGGGTGGTGTCACACGGCTCTCTCTGCTGTGTTTGTGGGGTGGTGTCACACGGCTCTCTGTGCTGTGTTTGTGGGGTGGTGTCACACGGCTCTCTCTGCTGTGTTTGTGGGGTGGTGTCACACGGCTCTCTCTGCTGTGTTTGTGGGGTTGTGTCACACGGCTCTCTCTGCTGTGTGTGTGGGGTTGTGTCACACGGCTCTCTCTGCTGTGTTTGTGGGGTGGTGTCACACGGCTCTCTCCACTGTGTTTGTGGGGTTGTGTCACACGGCTCTCTCTGCTGTGTTTGTGGGGTGGTGTCACACGGCTCTCTCCACTGTGTTTGTGGGGTTGTGCCACACGGCTCTCTCCGCTGTGTTTGTGGGGTTGTGTCACACGGCTCTCTGTGCTGTGTTTGTGGGGTTGTGCCACACGGCTCTCTGTGCTGTGTTTGTGGGGTTGTGTCACACGGCTCTCTCCGCTGTGTTTGTGGGGTTGTGTCACACGGCTCTCTCCGCTGTGTTTGTGGGGTGGTGTCACACGGCTCTCTCCGCTGTGTTTGTGGGGTTGTGCCACACGGCTCTCTCCGCTGTGTTTGTGGGGTTGTGTCACACGGCTCTCTCCGCTGTGTTTGTGGGGTTGTGCCACACGGCTCTCTCCACTGTGTTTGTGGGGTTGTGCCACACGGCTCTCTCCACTGTGTTTGTGGGGTTGTGCCACACGGCTCTCTCCACTGTGTTTGTGGGGTTGTGCCACACGGCTCTCTGTGCTGTGTTTGTGGGGTTGTGCCACACGGCTCTCTCTGCTGTGTTTGTGGGGTTGTGCCACACGGCTCTCTCTGCTGTGTTTGTGGGGTTGTGCCACACGGCTCTCTCTGCTGTGTTTGTGGGGTTGTGCCACACGGCTCTCTCTGCTGTGTTTGTGGGGTTGCGCCGCCCGCATTGTCGTTCGGCACGTTGCCCGTCATTCCGCTCCGCGCGCTGGGAGCATCCTCGGTGCCGGGAACCGGGGAGCCGTGAGCCGTCTTCTCTTGTCGGCATGTGGAGCGAAACGTCGGACGTCGTGCCGAACAAGAACGGGCGGCGCAACCCGAATAAGCAGCAGGGACACGGATGAGTCGTCGTTGGGTGGGGGGCACCCATCGGCGCACTCGTTTCACCCCTGCGACACCGCCACCGTGAACAGAGTGGGTTTTCTGTGCTGCATTTATACAAAGCGTGATGTTGTCAACATCACGATCAGTCATTATCCACTGCTGGATGAAGGCCTCACCACGCCCTGACCATTCCTCATGGCCCGGTGCTGCCGGTTATCTGCTGTACATGAGCCAATCTAATCTCTTGGCACCATCTCCACACGGGTCGTCCTCCTGGACGCGTTCCCACCTGCGGCTGCCCATTCCATCAGGAGTCTCGTCCCATCTATCGATCTGTCCTGCCCAAGCCACGTACCCTTTTTTATTCTCAGTGTGATGTGTTCCTTTTCTGCCTCGCGGTGCAATTCAAATCATTGCACCCCTCCACGCTTCTTTTGCACGCTCTCCAACGTTTGTTCCGTTTTATTTGTCAGCACACCTGCGGGCACGATGTCTCTGTGCTAAAACGGTCGCTTCTCAGTAACGTGTGCTCGCTTGCCCGTCCGTCGTGCTCGCTGCTGCTGCTGTTGCAGCGGTGGTGGTAATCGCGGCGGGGTGTTTCCTGCGTGTCGATTGGCTCGGCTGCTTTGGCACGCGCCGCCAATGCACAAGCGTTGCCATCTCTAGGTGCCGTGCCATTACTCTTGGAATTATAACGTCGAGCCCTGCTTTCTTGCCCCCCCCCCCCCAACTAGCAAGAGGGTAGCAGGGTGGGTGCTGAGGTTTTGGTTTGGGTGGCAGGGCCTTTACCAACTGATGCCGCCACTTGCCACCCCTGTGGCCACAAACACTAGGGTTCCCTTCTCGGGGGTTTCTGACGACCGAGCCTCAATTTCCTTCCCCGGTTCCCTCCCTCCCTGCTCGCCCTACCCGCCTGCTATCGCTGGTTCCCATGTTTCCGTGGCAGCCAGGGAGCACGGCACTCGCAGATCGACAGATGAATATCTGCTGCTCCCTTTTCAACGTCGGGTGTTTCCTGTTGGCCGTGTCACGATTGCCCGAGCGTGTCCCACGCTTTCCCCGCGAGCAGCGGTGCCGCTCAGGAACTGCTGCTCAATCTCCCTCTGCCGTGCGCTCATATTTCACCCCCTAACCGGGGCTCCTCACCCCTGACCCAAGCTCCTCACCCGTACAAGATTCGTCATCCTTACCGGGACTCTTCTTCTAGAACACCCTGCCCCCTACCAAGAATCCAGGACTCCTGCCCCCTACCTCCATACCAAGTGGGTGGCTGTGGTGTCGCTGAGAGGAGCTACCCCGGCACAGTTTTTCCTAGAACCAGCAGCCGGTGTGTCGGCGAGGAAGCGGCATCCCTGTCAGTATTTGCGGTCGTGCGTAATGAACTTTCGCGGATTTCTAAATCTTCGCCGCATCCTGCTCCTTCTCCCCGTGCGTTCCCTGTTTTCCTTCTGCTGCCCCCCCCTTCCGCCTTCCCCTCCGCAGATCGGATGATCGGGGAGAGCCCCTGAGCCGGGAGTCGTGATGACGGACCACGAGGTAATGTCACAATGCAAGGCCACCACGCACGGGGTCGCATGAGGGGCCACGCTTGGGGTCACAGGGTCACACGCACACACGTGGTCACGTGTACATGAGGTCACACGCACAAGGTCATTCACGGGGTGGCACGAGACCACTCGAGGCCCCTCGTCGGTGCCTTGTGGTTCTCCAGCACTCCCTCAACATCTGCTGTGTCCCCAGACCTGGGCCCCCGGGACCCACTGTGTGGCTCGTTACAACTACCACGGCACGGCTAACGACGACCTCTCCTTCAACAAGGGCGATGTGCTCACCATCGTCTCCGACAACAAGGCATATGGGCTCACCGCCTCACCGCCTCACCACCTCACCACCTCACCACCTCACCACGCTACTGCCTCACACCCTTACAGTCTCACCGCATTACAGTTTCACCACTCCACTGCCTCACCAACTCATAGCATCACCACCTCACCATGCCACAGTCTCATCAACTCGCAACATCACCACCTCACCCCCGCACCCCGCCACCTCACCCGAGTGCCTCGCGTAGCCCAGGGTTCCCCGATCAATCGTCGTGATTGCGTCCATCTTTGTGTGCGTGCTCCTCTTCCGCTCCCACACGCACGAGTGAACCTCTCGGTGTGCACGCGCGTGCGTGACCGCACAGAGAAACGCGCGCGTGCGTGATGTGTTTCCGAGTGTGTGAATGCGCACGCTCACGCACGCGTGAACCCCCCGACCCCGTGTGTGCGTGCGTGATGTTTTTCCGAGTGTGTGAACGCGCACGCTCACGCACACGTGAACCCCCCCTGACCCCGACCCCGTGTGTGCGTGTGTGCGCGCGTGCGTGTGTGCGTGCGTGTGTGCGTGCGTGTGTGCGTGCGTGTGTGCGTGTGTGTGTGTGTGTGTGCGTGCACGTGTGCGTGCGTGTGTGTGCGTGTGTGCGTGTGTGCGTGCGTGCGTGTGTGTGTGCATGTGAACGCACAGGACAGGAACTGGTACCAGGCTCGCAACAAAGATGGCCGCGAGGGCTTCATTCCTGCCAATTACGTGCAGAAACGCGAGGCCGTCAAGACCGACGGCAAGCTCAGCATGATGCCGTGAGTGCCCGTATTGAGCCCGTCCCATCCGATCTGGTGAAGCTGGGGGCGGCAGGGCAGGGGGCTGGAGGTCAGCCCGGTTGCTGGTCACTGAGCAGGTGTTTTTGGTTCGGGTGGCAGAGTCTCGGCCGATCCGGTTGGGGCCCGGCGCGGTGGTTTGATCTCATAGAGGTGTCGGGGGTGGTGGGGAAACTCGGGGCCCACGGAGGCTCGATGCGGCCCGCAGCCACGTGAGGCCTACCAGTTATAAACGGCGTGCCGATGGTTTAATTATACCGATCTTAATTGATATTCGGCTTAGGCCCCGTGATACACTGAATCGTAATACTGCCTGCGATAACCTACGTGTTGAGATGTTTACGCTGTTTACAGTTCAGATTTCTGCCAGTCTTCTCTCCACATGATGGTAGAACCCAGATGAGTAATTTTCAGTGTCATATTTTGAAATTGGTTACCGTGACGCCGGCACGCAATGGCCGACTCATGCAAACGATCTTCAACGTTCACTGTGAGTGAAGCAAACGGCATGTGGCACTGTTGCGATTAACATATGCACCGCAGTATTAACCAGGGCAGCCAGCCGGATTCGAACAGCGATCCTCAACAAACAAGCGGCGGCGGTAAACACGCTGCCCACCAGGGAACCGTGGGAAGCAGGGAGGGGAGGGATCGTATGATATTCGTAGTCTTCTGGTCCCAGGTTCAGAATTCTATGCAGGTTGAAAGGTCGTCCTCTCGCTTGATGCGTGATCGTGGCGGGCGCGTGCACCGCAGGTGGTTCCACGGGAAGATCCCGAGGGAGCAGGCGGAACGGCTGCTGTGCCCTCCGGAGGACGGGATGTTCCTGGTGCGTGAGAGCACCAACTACCCGGGCGACTACACGCTGTGCGTGTGCGCCGGCGGCAAGGTGGAGCACTACCGCATCATCTACCGCGAGAGCCGGCTCACCATCGACGAGGAGAGCTACTTCGACAACCTTATCCAGCTCGTCGAGGTGAGCGCACGAGCACGCGTACGTGCGTACGTACGTGTGTTTGATGAGGAGCGGTGGCGCAGTGGTTATGATAATGATGGTGGTGGTGATGGTGGTGATGATGATGCTGGTGGCAAACACAGATGGGAAGCGATAGTGTAGTGGTTAGCGCATTCTTGCTATGAGCCTGGCGACCTGAATTCAATTCCAGCTCTTGGCCTACGTCAGTGACAGAATATCTAAACCGGTCCTAGCTCGCGCCTGGGTCAACTCGGGACGAAATGGGTACCTGGTGTGGTGCGTGAAGTCAGCATTCGGCAAAGACACCAAGCAGTGGTGATGGCCGCACCACGCCTTTGTGAGCCGTGCCGGCCTTCATAGGTGCTCGGGAACAGCGCTTGCCCCAACAGTCTTCTTAAGGCTATACGGGGGATCTTTGTCTTTGTGTGTGTGCGCACCTTGACGAGTCCGCATTGGGAATCTGCATTGATGTATGTATTTGTGTTTGTTCATGAGTGTGGATGTGTGTGTGTGTGCGCATGTGTGTATATCGCTGGAGCTGTAACAGTCTGCTTTACAACAGCGACATGGACTTATACAGCGTCCCAACGCGATTACAACACAGCGCGCTACGCAACAACAGAGGGCACATTTGTTTCATTCTTTATTGTTTTATTATTGTGCTTTTACCCGGGAAGCCTCACTGAGTCTCAAGACTCTTCTGTAGAAGAGTCATGCCAAGTTTTCACGGCATTAGGGAGCAATGTTGCTGCTGCGTGTGATCCCGGATTGAGTCATGTGCAGGTGATTTCTAAGCATTGGGATGCTTTGGCCAGAACCAGCAACATTGCTTTAGCTATGAGATGAGGAAACCAGAGAACCCGGAGGAAAACAGGGCGCCCGGGTCAGGAATGGAACCCAGGAACTTGTTGCTGTGTGACGCGAGTGTCAACGCTGCACCGCTCTTATAGAGAGGGTTGGTCGGTCATCGGCCTCTGTGAGTCTACGTCTCTGTGCGAGTCTATGGGTCTCTGTATAAGTCTTTGGGGTTATGCGTAAGTCTATCGATCTGCGTTGTGAGTCTATGGGTCTCTGGGTCTATGGGTCCACAGTCATTCAAAGGCAGAGAAAAAATAGGAACCTGTTGAGTCTGGTCTTAAACAGGGACAGGGAGCTGACAGCACGGCTAACCGGGGGATGGGTGTTTCAGACCGTGGGGGGCATCAGCAGAGGTGGTGCGGTGTGGGGGCGGTGGATCGGGTAAACCTTACCCCCCCCCTCTCGGTGTTTTATCTCCATGGTGATCACTGGCCTACCCGCTTCTCCCTGAGCCCACCGTACACGACGGGAGGGACACGGCGTCCTCGTCAGTCACCCCCTGACCTTTGGTCGTTGCCTCCGAAATGTCAAAGGTTGCTTTCTCATGGAAGTTCACGTACAGTGCGGGTCAGGTGTACAGTTCACATTTAAAGCGGAGCGCGTGGGTGTAACTCGGGATCTAAATGCGGACGAGTTCCTGTTTTTTGCAACAGAAATACAAATTGTAGAAGAGAAACCGCGAACTTCCTCCGTCACTGCGGCGTGCTAACACATGCGGCCTTGCTTGGCCCGCGATGGCACCGGCTGTCGCAATCAGCGGGGCCTTTCTCAGACGAAGCGAGTGTGTGGTTTGGCGAACGTCCTTTGGCTCGGGCCACACGAACGGCGCGAGTTTCCGTGACGTCGGCAATGCATTGTGGGAGAGGAAAGGGGCCCCCACGATCCTGGGCGGCCGATTCTTCATCGCTCGCCGGGCTCGTAATGGTTCTGGGGGCGGAAGGGGGGGGGCGTCCACGCATTGCGCCCCACGCCCCACGAGAGGGTTTTCTGCGCTCAGGTTTTTAGATAAACGGTAGAGACCGCCACCGCCGCATCTTCTCCTCACGGCTATCTAAGCCTTGCAAAGACGCTCGCACAAAGCCCCGTGTGTGCGCGTGTGTGTGTGCGCGTATGTGTGCGTGTGTGCATTTGTGTCACTTATACACAGTGCGGATTTTCACCATTGTCATGGTAATGACACTCAGTGGTTCAGTGTAGCGGTTAGCAAACTGCTCTACGAATCCAGTGACCAGAGTTCGATTCCCGCTCAAGGCCAACACCATTGACGATCAGCCCCAAGCCAACTCGGCTTCAAACAAGTACATCGCCACTAGGGAGACCAAGGCGGCGGGGCAAGGTGTTGGCCACCCACACTCTCGTGTGACATGCTGGTCTTCAAAGGTGCTACACGCTAACAGCACTTGCCCAAACATTATGTTCAGGCTATGGGGGGTATCTTTGTCTTTGAGTGTGCACGTGAGTGTGTGTGTGTGCGCGTGTGTATGTGTGTGTGTCCATTTGTGTCACTCATAAGTGCGGCTTTTCACCGTTGTCATGGTTATAGCACTCAGTGGTTCACTGTGGCCGGACTCAGTGGGTGCTGGGAAGGGAGAAGAGTCTGTGGCAGGGATTCAGTTGCTGGCTGAGTGCTGCTCGTAGTGACTGTGTGTGCTTTGCTGGGCATGTGTGCTGTGAACTTCGCGTGGTGACCGTGTGTGCTGTGTGGTGTGCGAGTGGTGGAGAGCGGTGGTGTAGCGTGCTGCGCTATGAACCCAGCGACCCGAGTTGAATTCCCGCTCACAGCCAAAACCGTTTTTGTAAACATTGCCACGAGGGAGACAAAGATGGCAGGGCGTGTTGGTGACCACGCTGTGTCCCGTGCCAGTCTTCATAGGTGCTCGCTAACAGAACTTGCTCTTACAGTCTGTTAAGGCTACACGGGGGGGATCTTTGTGTGGTGGGTGTGATGTGCATGCGGTATGTGTGCTGCTTGTGTGTGTGTGCTGTGTGTGTAGAAGCTACCTGGTCTGTCGCTTCACACGAAGTTTCGGGTCTTCTCGGGCGGTTGTGCTCTTCCTTCTCTATGCTTGAAAAACGTGGAAAATCTTCGTCGGTTAGACACATTTAGGCTGGCCTGCCTATGATCCATCCTTGGTTTAACAAAGCTGGATTGTGTGAAGAGTTTACAAATCCTTGACAGATCTGGACACAGTCCCATAGGTGATCTCTTCCGGCAGGCAAGGCAGCGTTCGCTGTGTCATGTAGCCCGCATGCCCAGCCACCGCATACCTAATCAACTTTTGTTCAGCCGGATAGAGGAGGCTAAACAGGCACAGCACGGGCTAGAGAAGAGATTGAATAAGGTGGTACCAGAGGATATATAGCTGAGTGGACTTGTCAATGCCTGGTACCAGCGGTGTCAAGATCGGCCTCTGTGAAAGAGGTTCGTGAAGGACGCTGCTACTGGGCAGTTGGAGGCAGTCGCTCTCCAGCAACAACGAAGGGCAGAGGAGCAACGCTCACAACAACGAGCACAGTGCCGGGCAGCTAAAGCACAGCAAGTTGGCACAGTAGGGGGCACAGGTGGTGCATCTGCCAGTCATCTCAGTCAGTCAACCCATGGCACATGGGTCTGTCCCGTGACCTCCTGCCAGCGGACGTTTGACACTTCACGTGGCCTTAAAGTGCCCATAGCCTGGCACAAGCGTCGTGCTGACGTCACCACCACTTAGTTGCGAATGGGGGTTGTCGTTGCTGTGTGTGTGCGGTGTGTGTGCTACTCGTGTGTTTGTAGTTGAGCTTTCGTGGGGTCACCCTGTCCCCACGAGCCACCGCATGGCCCATGGTTCTCACATCTACGCCAGCAGTCTGGCCCAAAACTAAAACGTGGAATGTACGTTTATAAGTTGTGCTTGCACAAGCCACGCATTCGTCAAATCGACACATTCGTCAATGTCACCTTGGCCTTAAAAGAGAAATATAATATAGAAGTATTAAACGGAAGATGTTTTGCGCAATGTCCATTTCTGGTCTCATAAGCCTCATTGCTTGGGTTAAATATGAAATAAATATGAGTCTGGAGAGGCTGCTTCACTTGGGCGTGGTTGCGTGATCATCTCTGCGCGTCCTTGTGCGTGCGTGAGCGCACCCTGGCGTGTGTGGCTGTGTTTGTCAACGAGCCTTCCACGCTTCACATGGCCTCAAGGTGCACTTAGCCTGGCACATTCACTGTTATGATGTAACCGCCACTTGCACGTCCACCTTTTCCCCGCAAGTCTTTTAAAGGCTATAAGGGGTATTTTCGTCTGGTGTTTGTAAGGATACACATGGGATCCCTGTCATTGTGTGTGGGGAGCGGTGGCGCAGTGGTTAGCGCACTGTGTTATGAATCCGAGTTTATTTCCCGCAATATGACCAATAACAGTCATGATAATCTGAACCATTCCGGGGCTTCTATTAAGTGGACTTGGCTTTAAATCGGAGTACCTGGCATAAACATACACCACATTAAGCACTTCAAAGACAAAGGTGGGCAGGTGTGGTGTTAGCCACCAACCACTTCATAGGTGCTTGCTAACAGCACTGGTCCCTACAGTGTGTTGAAGGCTATATGGGAAATCTTTATCTTCGTGTGATCATGCCTGTGTGTTTGCCGGTGTCTCTACGGCTACACATGGGATCTGTGCGTGTGACTATGTGTGACTGTGGGTGTGGCTGTGCGTGCGACTGCGTGTGTGACTGTGCGTGTGACTGTGCCTGTGACTGTGCGCGTGTCCCAGCATTACACGCAGGAGGAGGACGGGTTGTGTACGCGGCTCATCAAGCCCAAGCCCATCGAGGGCGCCATCGCCGCTCAGGAGGTTTTCTCCAAGGGTGAGTGACGCATGGCAGGGGGCGGGCGGGGTGGAGGTGCGGGGAGGGGCACCTCTCTCGCCATCTGCCTTGGCGCCAGGAGCCTCCTCCTCTCGGGCTCTTGGGCAGGCAAGCTCGTTCGACAGGGTTCGGGCGGGCGTCTCTCGCCTGGCTCGCTGCGATCACCGAGCCCGCTCGGTTCCGCTGGACGTGTTGCGATTAATAATAATAATTTTAGAAATACATTTGTACGGGGCAGCATTTTATCCGAAGGTCCCAATGTACAGCGCTAGGTGGCGGTTTGCACACAGACGCAGTGGGGGTGCTTACTTCATGGAGAGAAAGGGGCGCAGGTCTCTGTGTGAGAGTACTGGTCTCTGTGTATTTTGAAGATCTAAAGGGAGGCAGTCGGTCAAAGAGGGGGAAGAGGAAGCGAGACTAAGTAGTGGACAGCATGGAAGGGAGTTGCAGACTCCCTTCCATGGGGACAGCAGAGGAGAATGAGCGACCTCCCACTGTGCCCAGGTTCACTGGGGTCTTGAAGAGAAGAGCGTTGGTTGCTGGAGCGGAGAGTGTGTGGAGGGAAGTGAGATGAGAGAGGCAGGAGAGTGTGGAGGTAGGGTTGTGGTTTCCCAGGGGCTGTGGTATGGTGCCTGCTTAACGTGAATTTAACTTGATTTATTTTTTTACTATTGATGCGTCTTTATTTTGTGTGCTTGTCTTTCTCATGCATATACACACACATGCACACTGAAAATTACACACGCACACACATATACACATGCACGTAATCACACATGCATGAACACAATCCACTCGCACACTGACACACACGCATAAATACACACACACATGCACACACACCCACATGCACACACACACGCATAAACACGCACACACGCAGGCGGCTGGGTGATTGACGTGCATGAGCTGAACTTGGGCAACTCCGTGGGGAAGGGCGAGTTTGGAGGTAACACACGCTCACACCCGTGGGTTTTGGTGGGGGGCAGGGAAGTTGCCCCCCATTTCCGCCTGGCTCTGGGGGATGAGGGGGAGGAGTGGGAGGGGCCCTCCGGGTCGCGAGCGCCAGCGTTGGCTCATCAGTGAGCGATTGATTCATCAGACAGGGCCCATTGTGGGTCTGCGTGACCTTTGACTCGCCCGGCTCGGGGTGCGGGGTCCTCGGCAGCAGCACAGTCTCTCCAGTGTGCTCCACCCGAGTGCTTGCGTGCCTGCGTGTGAGCATGCCTGTATGCATGCCTGTGTGTGTCTTTGTGTGTATGAGAGAGTGGGGAGCGGTTATGTAGCGCTCCGTACCCGGTGGACCCGAGTTCGATTCCCGCTCGTATCTGAATAGCTGCTGGGCCTCCCCCCAGGTCGACTCGGAGACCATGGCGGTCAGGCATGGTGCTGGTCATGCCAACCCATCGTGTGCCGTGCCGCCCTTCATAGGTGTTCGTCAACAGCACTTACTGCAACAGTCTGGGTAGGTTATACGGGGGATCTTTGTCTCCGTCTCTACAGGTGTGCGTGCTTGTGTGTGCGCGGGTGTGTGAGACAGACGTACACGAGGGCTGCTACCGTGGCAACCGCGTGGCCGTCAAGATCATCAAGAGCGATGCCACGGCGCAGGCATTCCTCGCAGAGGCAGCCGTCATGACGTACGCATACTCACGCACGTACACTCACGCACTCGCGCACTCGCGCACTCACACGCACACGCGCACAAAGGTCTCCCGTGTAGCCCACACAGGCTGCTGGGGTCAAGTGCTGTTTGCGAGCACCCGTGAAGGCTGGCACAGCGCTCGAGGGAGTGGCTATGGTCAGCGCCGCACACAGCCGCCTTTGTCTCTCCAGTGCTCATTTTGGCTACACGCACCGCACCGGTGACTTTCCGGGCAGGGTATGGCACACGTGTCCTTAAGTCCAGCGCTGTGGAGGCCAGGGTTGGCGGATTCTCTGGTTTCCTCCCACGTGTTTCAACACTCGTTAATTTGGCTGACAATATCTTAATGTTTCGAGGACCACAGAGCTTAGTTAATTGTTGGTGGTGCCGACTCCTCACCGGGTGGCTACTGCTGCTGCCTTTCCGCTCGCCTGCGGTTCCTCCTCGGCGATTGGGAGAGACGCTATCCTAACAACGACGGGGCTACAGATACTACTAACGCAGAAAAGGCTACACACTTGCCCCAACAGTCTGTAAAGCCTACACGGGAGCATCTTTGCCCCTGCCTTTGGTGCCTCCCCGCCCCCCACCCCTGCAGTGAGATCCGGCACAAGAACCTGGTGCAGCTGCTGGGCGTGGTGATGGGTGACTACCTCTACATCGTCACCGAGTTCATGGGCAAGGTCCGTGAACAACAACAACAACAACCAAAAAACAACATCATTCTCCCAGGAAGGCCTCAGGGAGTCTCGAGACTCGTTCTCACGAGGGGGTCCTACGTTGGGATGTTTGGCCAGTAACTTTAATGGGCGCTTGGCTTTGTACGGGAGGAGAGCCTGGTGGAAACCCTTCCCGCACAGACGGGTTCACAAAACCCTTTCTAGAGTGTCCCCCCCCCCCTCTCATCGCCTCTTTTACCCCCCCCCCCCCGCACGCTCTCACAGCGATAACCTCCCTCAATTCAGGAGACGTGGTAGCCAGGCGGTGGAGGCTCCGCTGCTGCACGTGGCAGCCCGTGATCCAGTGCTATGTGGAGGCAGCAGCGAGGGTTGGTGGATCACGCACAGATGCTGCGCAAACTCCCTTCCCGCGAGCGTAGAGGAGGAGCCGAACCCCGACTCGCCAGGAGAAGGCCGTGCAAGACAATCTTAGCTCAACCTGTCCCCTCTGTGCGGAATAGAGCGTTGCCTCTTCGAACGTGTGGGTTTTCTCCAAGTGCTCCAATTTCCTCCCACACTCATCATTAATTGGCCGATGACACCTTCAGATACATAGAGGGCCGCAGAGCTTGGGCACCGAGTGGCGGCTGCTGCTGCTGCTGCCTTCCCGCTGACCTGCCGCTCCTCCTCGCGCCTCCGAGTCGTCCACTCTCTCTACGAGAGTGAGCGACCGCTGTGCGGCGCCACGTCTTTATTATTAATATCATCTCTCATCTTTTGCAACTTTGATGGAGCTGTTTGTTGCTGGCGGTTTTATGTTTTGGGCTTGTGCTCAGCAGCTGTGTTTCAAGGAGAGAGTGGGGACCGTGTTGTTGTCGGTGACCGGTGTCGTGGTTGCAGGGCAGCCTCGTGGACTACCTGAGATCGCGGGGGTCGCTCGGTCATCACGCAGAGAGACCTCATCCAGTTCTCCCTGTGAGCGCTGCCACTCGCACACTCACACACTCTCACACACACTCGCACACACACTCGCACACACACTCGCACACACACTCACACACACACTCACACACACACTCACACACTCTCACACACACTCGCACACACACTCACACACACACTCACACACACACTCACACACACACTCACACACACTCTCACACTCTCACACACACTCGCACACACTCACACACTCGCACACACTCTCACACTCTCACACACACTCGCACACACTCGCACACACACTCTCACACACACTCTCACACTCTCACACACACTCTCACACACTCGCACACACTCACACACTCGCACACACTCTCACACTCTCACACACACACACACACTCGCACACACACTCACACACTCTCTCACACTCGCACACACTCTCACACTCGCACACACTCTCACACTCACACACACTCTCACACTCACACACACACTCGCACACACTCTCACACACTCTCACACACACTCGCACACACACTCGCACACACACTCGCACACACACTCGCACACACACTCTCACACTCACACGCTCGCACACACACTCGCACACACACTCGTACACACACTCGCACACACTCGCACACACACTCGCACACACACGCTCTCACACACACTCGCACACACTCGCACACACTCGCACGCACTCGCACACACTCTCACACACTCGCACACACTCTCATACACTATCACGCTCACATACACACTCGTACACACTCGCACACACTCTCGCACTCGCACACACTCTCGCACACACACTCACACTCTCACACACACTCGCACACACACTCGCAAACACTCTCACACACTCTCACACTCACACATTCTCACTCACACACTGTCACTCGCTCGCACACACACACACTCGCATACTCGGAGTGGGGCAGGGGGGCATAATGAGAGGGGGTGGGGGTCATCAAGCAGAGCATTAACGAGTAAACCTACAACAGCCAAGCGACCATAACACCAAAGACAAAGATTCCCCGTATAGCCTTAACAGACTGTTGGGGCAAGTGCTGTTAGCGAACACCTATTAAGGCCGACATGGCACACAAGGGGTGGGTGGCCAACACTACACCCGGCCGCCTTTGTCTCCCCATTGGCGATGTTTACACACCACACCAGGTACCAGGTACTCATTTGAGGCTGAGTCGACCTAGGGGAGGCTCAGGACCAGTTCAGATAATCGTCACCGGTGTTGGCCGTGAGCGGGAATCGAACCCAGGTCGCTACGTTCATAGCGCAGCACGCTAACCGCTACACCACCGCTCCCCACACACACGCTTACTCACACACACTGACTCGCACACACTCACTCACACTCACTCGCACACTCTCGTACACTCCCACTCACACACTCGCACGCGTATCGCCATCGTCTTCAGCACGTCTGAAGGTCGGCATGTTACACGAGGGCGTGGGGCCGGGCATCGCCAGGGGCCACGACATGGAGACCAAACTGATCACTTGGAGCACACGCACACGCACACATGCATGTGCGCACATGCATGCACACATGTGCGCACATGCATACACGCATGCACACGCACACATACACGCACACACATGCATACACATGCATGTGCATATGCACACATACACAAAGACAAAGATCCACTGTATAGCCTTAGCAGGCTGTGTTGGGGCAAGTGCTGTATGTGATTAGCACCTCTGAAGGGGGTGGGTGGCCACCCCCACGCCGGCCATCTCTGTGCACGTCTTGTTGTGTTGGCAACTCGGTGTGTCCCGCGGAGGAAGCTGCCGCGCAGTGGTTAGCACACTGCCCTCTGAACCCGGCGACCCGAGTTCGATTCCCGCTCGCGGCCAACATCTGTGACGAATATCTAAACCGGTCCCGGGCCTCACCTAGGTTGACAAGGCCTCATATGATTACCTGGTGTAGTGTGTAAACCATCAGCACTGGTGCTGGGCACCCACCCCCTTCTGTGCCATTTTGACCTTGATAGGTGCTTGCTAATAGCTCCTGCCTCTAAGGCCCATGTAGGTTACATGGGGGATCTTTGTGTGAATGATGATGTCCATGTGTTGTGTGAGCGTGTCTCTGTGCGCATGTGGGGGCGGTGGTGCAGCGGTTAGCGAGCTGCACTACAAACCCAGCAACCCGAGTTCGTTTCCTGCTCACGACGAATAAGTGGCAAATATTTGAACCACTCCTGAGCCTCCCCTAGGTCGACTCGGCCTCAAATGAGTTCCTGGTGCGGTGTGTAAACATCGCAACTAGGGAGACAAAGGCGGCCGGGTGTGGTGCTGGCCACCCACCCCCTCGTGTCCCGTGCCGGCCTTCATGAATGCTGCTTGTGAACGGCACTTGCCCCAAAAGTCTGTTAAGGCTACACAAGGGATCTTTGTGTGTGTGCGCGCGTATCGGCGTGTCCCAGCGACGTGTGCGAGGGCATGGAGTACCTGGAGTCGCGGCGCTTCGTGCACCGCGACCTGGCGGCACGGAACGTGCTCGTGTCGGACGACAGCATCGCCAAAGTGAGCGACTTCGGCCTGGCCAAGGAGCAGGCGACCGCCACCGTCGACAGCAGCAAGCTGCCCGTCAAGTGGACCGCCCCGGAGGCGCTGCGGCACAACGTAGGAGTGGCCGCACGCGCCCCGCACAACCACGCAATCTCATCTCGTGACACAGCCACGCGGGCAGCTGCACACACGCATGTGTTGGTGGTACAGCCGTACAGGCAAGCACACGAGCATGTGGTGGTGTGTGTACCGGTGTGCGTACAGGTGCGTGTGCCTGTTTGTATAAATGATTGTGCGATTGTGCGCATCGGTGTTTGTGCCATTGGCCGTTTCATTGTGTGTGTGTTGGTGTGTACCAGTGTGTGTACCACTTTGTAGATCGGTGTGTGCCGCTGTGTGTACCAATGTGTGTGCGTGCCAGTGTGTACCCGTGTGTGAGCAGTGGTGTAGTGGTTAGCATGCTGCCGAGTTTGATTCCTGCTGACGACCAACACCAGTGACAATTATTAGAAGATGTCCTGCGTCTCCCCTAAAAATTAGTAACTGGTACGATGTGTAAATATCAGCACCGGAGAGACAAAGGTGGCTGGGCGTGGTACTGGCAACCCACGCCCTCGTGTGCCATACTGGCCTTCATAGGTGTTCGCTAATAGCACTTGCCCCAATAGCCTGTTAAAAGTTACACGGGGGGTGTTTGTCTCTGTGCCGCTGCGTGTGCCACGCAGGCCTTCACATCACAGTCGGACGTGTGGAGCTACGGCGTCCTGCTGTGGGAGGTCTACTCGTTCGGACGCGTGCCCTACCCCCGTGTGGTGAGTGCCCCACCTCACCACCCCTACCTACCCACCTGTGTGTGGCGATTGTCATTGGTGGTGACTGTGGTATTGGAAGTGGTTGTTTTGATTGCGCTTGTGGTAAACGGTGGTGTTGGTGTTGGTTGTGGTGCTGATGGTGGTGGTGCCAATTGTCGTGATGACGGTAGTGTTGGTGTCGGTGGTCATGGTGTTAGTAGTGCCAACAGGTAATGGTGCCAAACCGATGGTGCCAAATGGTGAAACTGAAGGTGCCCAACGGTTAAACTGATGGGGCCAATGACCAGAGGCAATACTGGAATCAGTGCTGACTGTGGTGCTGGTAAACTAAACTACGGTAAACTATAAAAAACTCTTTCAGTAGTGACCTGGCCACAAATGATAACGCAACAAGTTCGCTCATCATCGAGTGGAAATTGAAAGCAGCAGCCACATAGCGATGGCATTGGTCACGCCGTTGGCACCAACGATGGCGATGGTGGTACCGATAGTGGTGGTGGTGGTTGTCGCGGTGGTGCAGCCCCTGAAGGACGTGGTGTCCCACGTGGAGAAGGGCTATCGGATGGACGCCCCCGAGCAGTGCCCGTCCATCGTCTATCAGCTGATGCGCGACTGCTGGAGCCTGGACCCACAGAAGAGGCCCAAGTTCCAGGACCTGCGGCGGAGGATAGAGGCGGAGAAGGGTCGCATCGCCAGCGAGTGACACGTGCACCGACACACACACACACACATGCCTGTACACACACACGAACCTACATACACACGGACCTACACACACGTGCCTATACACACACACCTACACACACATGGACCGACACAAACACGCACCTACACAAACACGCACCTACACACACACCCACACACACCAATGCACACCGACCTACATAAACATGCAAAGTCCCCTACAAACACACACTCCTACACACGTATAACCACCAATACACCAAAACACACATTGACAGACAATCTAACACACACACCCAAACATAGCCACTTATGCAGAGACGCACGCACAGAGACGCGCGCACACACACACTGTAGCACCGCACTCCTCTCATTTCCGTTGCCTGGGCTCGTTGCGCTCCACTCTTCGGGAAGCCGGACGCCGACGGCGCCGGGCGGCGGCAGCAGCAGCAGCAGCGCCGCTCCCCTTGCATGTCCACGCCTCGTTGAGCCTCGCATCGATAACATCGTCGTCATCATTTTTAAATCTTATTACTAACCCTTACTACGGTAGCTTTTTTAATCGTGTTCGCGCGTGCGCGACGTTTGTGTTCGTGACGCTGGTGCGTTGGCCGGCACTTTCCTTGCAGTTGGGCTGGCACCGCCGCCTGTGCCCCCCACGCCCCCCTCCTCCCCTCGGGTGCCCCCCCCCCGCCCCCACGGTGCCCCTCCTCGCTTCCTCGAGTCGCACATTTCAGGGTCGCGCCCCCCACGTGGACTGTGGTGGGTGCCGGGGGGGTGGGGGGGCTCGGCCTCCTGGCCAGGGCTCCGCGCGACCCCCACAAGTCGGGCGTGCCCGCGGCGCGGGTTTACGCGCGCGCCACGCGGTGCCGCCCGGTGTGCCATGCTCTGCCATCTGGTGCCTTGTGGCCTCACGCGGGCACCGCGTGGTGCCACCGTGCGGCGCTTCCCCACCCTGCGGGGCCCCCCGCCGCCTGTGACCGGGTCGCCGCCAACCCTCGACGCGTTTCCTCGGAGCGCCGTGCGCCGGTAGCGTTTTTATAAATCGACTGCGTCCGTGACAGTCCCCCGCTTGCGGGGGCTGGGGGGTGACCACGGGTGGGGAATCGCCCCACGATTCCCCTCTTGGTGCCGCGCAGAGTTGGGCGGCGGGTGGCCCGGGCCGACAGGGTGGGCCCCCCTCTAACGCGCGTCCCCGGCCGTAGCAGCATTCGACCAACGGTCCCACGCGGCGTTCGCCTCTCTCTCAACCCGGGCAGGTTAATTTATACAGGCGACGTCCAGACACGAGAGGAGGGCGCGAGGTCCCCGCTGGCAGGATGCGGAGAGAGGCCGCCGCAGTGTCCTTGGACGCGGCGGCCTCACCGCGCTCCGCTCGTGGGAACCTTACGTTCCGGTGTGTGGGCGAAGTGAATCGTGTCTGAATAAAGTCGCTTTTCATTTTGGTTCTATTTCACTCATCGGTAAGTTTTTTTCAGCTCTCCGCCCGACGAATTCGCCCGCCCGCCGTCGCCTCCGCGTGCGCGTTGGAGCCTCGCACTTCCCCCTTGGCCGGCCCGCGGTGCGAGCGGCGGGCGCTGTGGTCCGCCGCCGGCCGCCCTCCCTCCCCCCCTCCCCGTCTTGATGCGTTTACACTGACCCCGCCTGCCCCCCAGCGGTCCTGGTCGGTCCTGCGTGTGAGATCATCGTCGTCGTCGTTATGGGTTTTTTTTGCAATTGAATTCCTTAACTCGCGTAACCCTCCCGAGTCCGTCTCACTCTGTGCCCGGTTCCTCGTGTCGCCTCGTCATGTGAATCGGTCCACGCTGAGGTAGCCGCCTGTCCCCGTGTTTCACTCGGACCTGAATCCTGTGTCCGGGTGGCAGGAATTGATCATCCACCTTGATCCGGTTCCAGTATTGCCGTGTTGAACTCTTATCACGGTAAACCGCGGCACGGTTCTGGTAACAGACCTCGTGCCGAGAAACACTCCCCCCTTTGTTTGATCCCCGCAGTGGGAACAAAAATGCGGCGACCTCCGTTTCACGGCACATTCGCCGTGACCACCTTACGGCAAGCAGCCTGGTCGGCCAGGTTTAGGGTTGGGGTCCTGGGCCGTCCCTTGCCCCCCCCCCGGCCCCATTTCCAAGCCCAGGCAAGCCCAGGCAAGCACGCCATCAAATCTACGTGGGGCTCCAGGTGGTCATCAAGACGTGACGCTGCTGAGTTTCACACTTGGACTGCTGCGGTAGTTTCGCAGGGGGGGGGGGTGTTGCCGCGTGCGTCCTCCGAGCGGGGCGTTTTGCGGGTGAGTTTTCACACTGCCGGTGCCTGGATCGCGCTGGACTACCCCTGGGTGACGGGATGGCAACCTGCAGCTCTGGATCCGCGTGCGCCTCTTTAAGGACTGCTTCGTGACCGTATTTAGGACCTCCGTCTCATTCACGTTGCATTGCGGCTCTTCAAATATTGAGTTTTCGCACAAAAATGGCTCCTTTTCAATTTGGTTGCCGACCCCTGCCCTAGGTTACGTATCTTCACTGTAGTGAAAGTGACCGGGGCGCTTCTCCGATGACCTGTGAGATCACGGTTGTTTACTCGGGCGGCCCGTAGCGGCCAGACCACCTAGCCCTGTCCGCCAGTCGAACCGCAAACTTCTCGGGTCACATGAAGTCGCACACACCTCCTCGTGAAAGACCCGACGACACAAAACACAATCACCTGCCGTGAATCTTCTGGACCACAACCGTGAACCCCGTCGGCACAAACCATGGCAGCAGCAGCAGCTGACACAGTACTTGATGCACAAAGGGAAAATTAAAGACCTCACCGGCAGTGGAGTCTGGTCACCCACAACACAAGCGTGGAACATATAACGACGCCTCGATGCCTGATTCACAAAGACGGAAGAGGCATCACGACAGCAGCGATCCGCTGCTCCTCGTGACGCATTCGTCTGGCTCTTCCACAACCTCGATGTGTGGCTGCCCATCAGAATGGTGCTGCCTGGCGCAGCACCATTTTCCGTCGCCTTGGGAACGCCGCACCACGGCGCATCCAGCAGACCCGCGCACAGCGAGGTGTATCGGAGGGGTGTTGGGCGACATTCGAGGATCCAGAGGGGTTCGGGAGAGAGGGGAAAGGGGTCGCGCCAGGGGTCTCGTCTCCTGGACCCCGCCATGAGGTGGCGCTGTGGATCGGGGCCCACGCATGGCCGCGGTGCAGCCACGAACGCGGCAGCTCAACGCCGCTTGTGTCCCCACAATCAGAATCTTTATCCTGCCTGGAGGAATCGGATGAGATGTGAAGATCTTTTACACAGATGTACAGTCGGGACACGGGGTCGTCAAATTATAACAAAAAGACAATACGACATAAAACTATCGTGAAAAGTCTAGACGAGGTAAGCAAGTCACTAAACATAAAACGAAGTACGAATTGCGTAAGTACACAACACACTGCTGATGATTGTTCTACACAATGCGAACGACTCTGTCTCAAGCGAGCCCGACTGCCGATGGGACACTGAACGGTGAAGCCGGCCCGGAGTGTTGGCTGTGTTGAACGCAAGGCAGTGTTGTGGCTGATGTGTATATACTCGCCTGCTCGCTCAAGTCAATTTTGTTTGTGTTACATCCGTGGCTGGCGCCTTGCTGCCACAAATTGCCAACTCGAAGCGCCATCGCCTTAATACTGAACATAAGAGTTGACAATTCTAAACTATGATAACATGTATATTTACATCCTGTCTATAGTTTAAAATATAACAAATAATACCAAGCTGCGCCTGTGAGTTAAGGCTACACATACGGTGCTATTGTGCTGTGACCTGCAGTGCTGTCAGTGAGTGGGTGAATGGGTGGGTGGGTGAGTCGGTGAGTGAGTGATTGGGTGGGTGGGTGAGTCGGTGAATGGGTGGGTGAGTGGGTGGGTGAGAGGGTGAATGAGTGGGTGAATGAGTGGGTGAATGGGCAGGTGAGTGGGTGGGTTGTGACCTGCAGTGTGGTGCTTGAACACAGTTCAGGCAGCACGAGAGTTGAGCACAGCGCCAGGCGCGCTCTCTCCTCGAGAAGTCCAACAGCCATATAGGTGAGCTGCTGCTCAACCTCCCCCCACTGCCCACTCCTCGGAGGGGGAGGGGGGTGGGGTGGCACCTCAGCCACGGCACGTGACGTTGAAGAGCCGGGGCGGAGCCGCCGCCGCTCTCCGCTCCACGTGTCTCTCGATACTCGAGTCCCTCTCCTCGTGATGTCTCCTCGCCTCGCCCTCGTCCTGCCCCTCCTCGGCGTCCTCGGCGTCTTCGCGGGGCTCGGAGTCCGCGCTCGGGAGCCGCGGCTCCGCTTCGAGTACAAGCTGAGCTTCAAGGGCCCCCACCTGGTGCTCGCGGACGGCGCGGTGCCCTTCTGGAGCCACGTGGGCAGTGAGTCGAGGGGCCGGCGCCCGCGGCGTCTCCACGCCGCCGGGTGGTGACTGGTGGCGCGAATATCACACGTGTGTGTGTCTCAGTGCGTGTGTCCCACCTGGTCCGTGTGTCTCACCTGGTCCGTGTGTCTCACTTAGTGCGTGTGTCCCACCTGGTCCCTGTGTCTCACCTGTCCCTGTGTCCCACCTGGTCCGTGTGTCTCACCTGTCCCTGTGTCGCACCTGGTCCGTGTGTCTCACCTGGTCCGTGTGTCTCACCTGGTGTGTGTCTCACTTAGTGCGTGTGTCCCACCTGTGTGTGTGTTTCACCTGTCCCTGTGTCCCACCTGGTCCCTGTGTCTCACCTGGTCCGTGTGTCTCACCTGGTCCCTGTGTCTCACCTGGTCCGTGTGTCTCACCTGGTCCGTGTGTCTCACCTGGTCCGTGTGTCTCACCTGGTCCGTGTGTCTCACCTGGTCCCTGTGTCTCACCTGGTCCGTGTGTCTCACCTGGTCCCTGTGTATCACCTGGTCCGTGTGTCTCACCTGGTCCCTGTGTCCAACCTGGTCCGTGTGTCTCACCTGGTCCCTGTGTCTCACCTGGTCCGTGTGTCTCACCTGGTCCCTGTGTCCAACCTGGTCTGTGTGTCTCACCTGGTCCCTGTGTTTCACCTGGTCCGTGTGTCCCACCTGGTCCCTGTGTCCCACCTGGTCCGTGTGTCTCACCTGGTCCGTGTGTCTCACCTGGTCCCTGTGTCCAACCTGGTCTGTGTGTCTCACCTGGTCCCTGTGTTTCACCTGGTCCGTGTGTCCCACCTGGTCCCTGTGTCCAACCTGGTCCGTGTGTCTCACCTGGTCCCTGTGTTTCACCTGGTCCGTGTGTCTCACCTGGTCCCTGTGTCCAACCTGGTCCGTGTGTCTCACCTGGTCCCTGTGTCTCACCTGGTCCGTGTGTCTCACCTGGTCCCTGTGTCCCACCTGGTCCGTGTGTCTCACCTGGTCCCTGTGTCCCACCTGGTCCGTGTGTCTCACTTGGTCCGTGTGTCCCACCTGGTGTGTGTCCCACCTGTCCGGGTTCACACGCCATGTGCGTGTGCTGCCATATGCTACAATCATCGCAGCGAGACGTGATGGTCATGGTTCGGGGTTATGATCGTGGTAGAGGCAGGGATCTTCATCGTCACGATGAGGTGAGGGTCGGGGTCAAGTTCAGGGGTTGCGGTCAGGGTCGGGGTTTGTGGTGTTGACCTTAGGCGGCCTCAACGCATGCGCGGAGAGAGGAAGAGGAGAGTGATGGAGAGGTAGGGAGAGAGGAGAGTGATGGAGTGAGATGTCGAGATGAGAGAGTTGGGGGGGGGGTCGAGTAGAGAGAGGGAGGGAGCTTGGGAGAGCGTTTGGGCAGAGAGTTTGACGCAGCGAGAGTGAGAAGTCGCGAGTCGCGAGTGGGAGAGACGGGGAGCGCGAGGGGAGAGTCGGGAGCCATCTGGTGGCGCTGTTCGCGATCCCACGCCTCGCGCTGCTGGGGGCCCGGGGGGGGGGGAGGGGGGTGGGGCCGTGGGAACGCGGCAGCAGCAGCAGCAGCAGCAGCGTGCGGGGTGCGGGGTGCGGGGTCCGGAGCGGGGTCCATCCCGCCCGGGGACTCCAGATAACGCGACCCCTTTAGACCCCGCGTCGCACCGACCTAATGAAGTTTCTTTTTTGAGTTTGGTTGCCCCTGATTACCCCTGGTTGTCCCCGGTTGCCCCTGGTTACCCTCGGTTTCCCCCGGTTGCCCCTGGTTACCCCCCGGTTTCCCCCGGTTGCCCCTGGTTACCCCCGGTTTCCCCCGGTTGCCTGCCCTGTGCGCAGGCGCGATCCCGGGACCCGAGCTGCTGCGCGTGGCCCCCTCCCTGCGCCACGGGCGCGGGGCCGCGTGGTCGCGCAGCGCGCTCAGAGCCGCCTCCTGGGACGCGCGAGTTCAGCTGCGGGTGGCGGGGAGAGGTCGCGCGGGGGGCCACGGCCTGGTATGGGGGGAGCACGGGGGGGGCACGGGGGGGGGGGCACGGGGGGGGGGCACGGGGGGGGGGCACGGGGGGGGGGGCACGGGGGGGGGCACGGGGGGGGGCACGGCCTGGTATGGGGGGGGCACGGGGGGCACGGGGGGGGGCACGGGGGGGGGGGCACGAGGGAATTGGAACACTGGACGATTGGGGGTCGGGTCAGGGAGACATTGAGACGTGGTGACAGGAGGGTACTGTGACACAGAGACATGCAGGGGTACAGGGCACTGGAGACACGGGGACAGAGCGCGGGGGACACGGGGGGACACGATGAGACGGGGACAAGAGGAGACAGGGGGACACGTGGTTGGCCCCGCGCGGCCTCGCTGACTGCTCGTGGGGTGCACGCCTCTCCCTCTCTCCCTCCCTCCCCCTCCCGCAGGCGATTTGGTTCGCGGAGGAGGCGGGGGCCCTGGGCCCCGTGTTCGGGGGCCCCGAGACGTGGAACGGAGTCGGGGTCATCCTGGACTCTCGCGACAGCCAGGTGGAGGCCTCCACACCGACCCTCCCACGGAACCCTCAGCCCCCCCCCCCTCCCAAACCAACACCCCCATTCCTTGATGTTGGTGGTGGTAGTGGTGGGGAGCGGTGGTGGAGGTGGTGGGGAGCGGTGGTGGAAGTGGTGGTGGTGGGGAGCGGTGATGGAGGTGGTGGTGGTGGTGGTGGGGAGCGGTGGTGGAGGTGGTGGTGGTGGGGAGCAGTGGTGGAAGTGGTGGTGGTGGTGGTGGGGAGCGGTGGTGGAGGTGGTGGTGGTGGGGAGCGTGGTGGAGGTGGTGGTGGGGAGCGGTGATGGAGGTGGTGGTGGTGGGGAGCGTGGTGGAGGTGGTGGTGGTGGGGAGCGGTGGTGGTGGTGGGGAGCAGTGGTGGAGGTGGTGGTGGGGAGCGGTGGTGGAGGTGGTGGTGGTGGGGAGCGGTGGTGGAGGTGGTGGTGGTGGTGGTGGGGAGCGGTGGTGGAGGTGGTGGTGGTGGGGAGCGGTGATGGAGGTGGTGGTGGTGGGGAGCGGTGGTGGTGGTGGTGGGGAGCGGTGGTGGAGGTGGTGGTAGTGGGGAGCGTGGTGGAGGTGGTGGTGGGGAGCGGTGGTGGAGGTGGTGGTGGTGGGGAGCGGTGGTGGAGGTGGTGGTGGTGGGGAGCGGTGGTGGAGGTGGTGGTGGTGGGGAGCGTGGTGGTGGTGGGGGTGGGGAGCGGTGATGGAGGTGGTGGTGGTGGGGAGCGGTGGTGGAGGTGGTGGTGGGGAGCAGTGGTGGAGGTGGTGGTGGTGGGGAGCGGTGATGGAGGTGGTAGTGGTGGGGAGCGGTGGTGGAGGTGGTGGTGGTGGTGGGGAGCGGTGGTGGAGGTGGTGGTGGTGGTGGTGGTGGGGAGCGGTGGTGGAGGTGGTGGTGGTGGTGGGGAGCGTGGTGGTGGTGGTGGTGGGGAGCGGTGAGGGAGGTGGTGGTGGTGGGGAGCGGTGGTGGAGGTGGGGAGCAGTGGTGGAGGTGGTGGTGGTGGGGAGCGGTGGTGGAAGTGGTGGTGGTGGGGAGCGGTGGTGGGGAGCAGTGGTGGAGGTGGTGGTGGGGAGCGGTGGTGGTGGAGGTGGTGGTGGTGGTGGTGGTGGGGAGCGGTGGTGGAGGTGGTGGTGGTGGGGAGCGGTGATGGAGGTGTTGGTGGTGGGGAGCGGTGGTGGAGGTGGTGGTGGTGGGGAGCGGTGGTGGAGGTGGTGGTGGGGAGCAGTGGTGGTGGTGGTGGTGGTGGGGAGCGGTGATGGAGGTGGTAGTGGTGGGGAGCGGTGGTGGAGGTGGTGGTGGTGGTGGGGAGCGGTGGTGGAGGTGGTGGTGGTGGTGGTGGGGAGCGGTGGTGGAGGTGGTGGTGGTGGTGGGGAGCGTGGTGGTGGTGGTGGTGGGGAGCGGTGAGGGAGGTGGTGGTGGTGGGGAGCGGTGGTGGAGGTGGGGAGCAGTGGTGGAGGTGGTGGTGGTGGGGAGCGGTGGTGGAAGTGGTGGTGGTGGGGAGCGGTGGTGGGGAGCAGTGGTGGAGGTGGTGGTGGGGAGCGGTGGTGGAGGTGGTGGTGGTGGGGAGCGGTGGTGGAGGTGGTGGTGGTGGTGGTGGTGGGGAGCGGTGATGGAGGTGGTAGTGGTGGGGAGCGGTGATGGAGGTGTTGGTGGTGGGGAGCGGTGGTGGAGGTGGTGGTGGTGGGGAGCGGGAGTGGAGGTGGTGGTGGTGGGGAGCGGTGGTGGAGGTGGTGGTGGGGAGCGGTGGTGGAAGTGGTGGTGGTGGGGAGCGGTGATGGAGGTGATGGTGGTGGTGGTGGGGAGCGGTGGTGGAGGTGGTGGTGGTGGTGGGGAGCGGAGGTGGTGGTGGTGGGGAGCGGTGGTGGAAGTGGTGGTGGTGGTGGTGGGGAGCGGTGGTGGAGGTGGTGGTGGTGGTGGTGGGGAGCGTGGTGGAGGTGGTGGTGGGGAGCGGTGATGGAGGTGGTGGTGGTGGGGAGCGGTGGTGGAAGTGGTGGTGGTGGGGAGCGGTGGTGGTGGTGGGGAGCAGTGGTGGAGGTGGTGGTGGGGAGCGGTGGTGGAGGTGGTGGTGGTGGGGAGCGGTGGTGGAGGTGGTGGTGGTGGTGGTGGGGAGCGGTGGTGGAGGTGGTGGTGGTGGGGAGCGGTGATGGAGGTGGTGGTGGTGGGGAGCGGTGGTGGTGGTGGTGGTGGTGGGGAGCGGTGGTGGAGGTGGTGGTAGTGGGGAGCGTGGTGGAGGTGGTGGTAGTGGGGAGCGTGGTGGAGGTGGTGGTGGGGAGCGGTGGTGGAGGTGGTGGTGGTGGGGAGCGGTGGTGGAGGTGGTGGTGGTGGGGAGCGGTGGTGGAGGTGGTGGTGGTGGGGAGCGTGGTGGTGGTGGTGGTGGGGAGCGGTGATGGAGGTGGTGGTGGTGGGGAGCGGTGGTGGAGGTGGTGGTGGGGAGCAGTGGTGGAGGTGGTGGTGGTGGGGAGCATGGTGGTGGTGGTGGTTGGGAGCGGTGATGGAGGTGGTAGTGGTGGGGAGCGGTGGTGGAGGTGGTGGTGGTGGTGGGGAGCGGTGGTGGAGGTGGTGGTGGTGGTGGTGGGGAGCGGTGGTGGAGGTGGTGGTGGTGGTGGGGAGCGTGGTGGTGGTGGTGGTGGTGGGGAGCGGTGATAGAGGTGGTGGTGGTGGGGAGCGGTGGTGGAGGTGGTGGTGGGGAGCAGTGGTGGAGGTGGTGGTGGTGGGGAGCGGTGGTGGAAGTGGTGGTGGTGGGGAGCGGTGGTGGTGGTGGGGAGCAGTGGTGGAGGTGGTGGTGGGGAGCGGTGGTGGAGGTGGTGGTGGTGGGGAGCGGTGGTGGAGGTGGTGGTGGTGGTGGGGAGCGGTGGTGGAGGTGGTGGTGGTGGGGAGCGGTGATGGAGGTGTTGGTGGTGGGGAGCGGTGGTGGAGGTGGTGGTGGTGGTGGGGAGCGGTGGTGGAGGTGGTGGTGGTGGGGAGCGTGGTGGAGGTGGTGGTGGGGAGCGGTGGTGGAGGTGGTGGTGGTGGGGAGCGGTGGTGGAGGTGATGGTGGTGGTGGGGAGCGGTGGTGGAGGTGGTGGTGGTGGGGAGCGTGGTAGAGGTGGTGGTGAGGAGCGGTGGTGGAGGTGGTGGTGGTGGGGAGCGGTGGTGGAGGTGGTGGTGGTGGTGGGGAGCGGTGGTGGAGGTGGTGGTGGTGGGGAGCGGTGGTGGAGGTGGTGGTGGTGGTGGGGAGCGGTGATGGAGGTGGTGGTGGTGGGGAGCGGTGGTGAAGGTGGTGGTGGTGGGGAGCGGTGGTGGTGGTGGGGAGAGGTGGTGGTGGGGAGCGGTGGTGGGGAGCGGTGGTGTAGCGGTTAGTGCGCTGCGCTACCAACCCCAGTGACCCGCGTTCGATTATCTGAACCGGTTCTGGGCCTCCCCTAGGTCGATTCAGCCTCAAATGAGTACCTGGTGCGGTGTGTAAACATCGCAACCAGGGAGACAAAGGCGGCCGGGCGTGGTGCTAGCCATCCACCCCCTCGTGTGCCGTGTCGGCCTTCATAGGTGCTCACCAATAGCACTTGCCCCAACAGTCTGCTAAGGGGCCGTCCATAAATGACGTCACGCACCTGAGGGGGGGGTCAGACATTTGTGACGATGTGTGACGAAGGGGGAAGTGGGGGGTTGAGAAATGTGACGTCACATCAAAATGCACAACTTTAAATAAATATAGACAACACGTTCTGCCTAATTAAATAGACTTTTTAATAAATGTTTTCTCCTACAACATCAGAGTGCAGCGCCACATTAAATACGCACTACAATGACAATAGTTTAAAGCGATTTGAAGTATTTTTTTTTTGGGGGGGGGGGGGCAGAGCTTTGTGACGTCATATTTGAGGGGGGTCTGACTTTTTGTGACGCCGTGTGACGAGGGGGCGGGGGTCAAAAATCGTCCAAAATCGCGTGACGTCATTTATGGACGGCCCCTAAGGCTATACGGGGAATCTTTGTCTTGGTGTTGTGGTCGCTCGGCTGTTGTAGGTTGACTCGTTAATGCTCTGCATGACGACCCCCACCCCCTCTAATTACCCCCCCCCCACCCCCTTCCCTCCCCCGCCCCTCAGGGAGATTTGCCGATGGTTTTTGTCGTCGCCAACAACGGAAGCGTCGCGTTCGCCCAGGGGAGGTGCGTGGGGGGGCTGGTGGGGGGGGGGCTTTGGGGTCGGGGTCAGTATTCGTGTCAGGACCAGGAGCGTCACGGATCGATCGTCACGATCCCCACCTCACGCCGTGGATCGATTCACGAGCCGATTCCTTTAGTTGGCCATCGTGGTGCGGCTGGAGAGGTTGCTGATAGGTGGGACGCGTGGTGTGCAGGGTGGAGGAGCAGGAGGATGGGGTAGGCAAATTAGAGGTTTGTAATAGGAGGTAGTGATGGGTGGGACACGTGGTGTGCAGGATGAAGGAGGGGCAGGGGACCAAGAGGGCATTGGAGTGGCACTCAGAGGTCGGTGACCTCGATGCCTAGAGCCACGTGTTGGCGGTCGTGGTGGTGGTGATGACGAGGCCATAAGAGGGGTCATTCGAGGTCAGGAGCGGATCAACAGCTGTGTGATCCCGAAGCAAGGAAGTGATGGCGAGGTGCGGTGACCTCCTGACCTTGGCCTGTGCTCGTGTCGGCAGCGACGCCTCCGCGCAGGCCCTCGCCTCGTGCCGCCGCGACTTCCGCAACAAGCCTCACCCGGTGAGGGTGAGAGTCTCACTCCACGCGGGGAGCCTCGAGGTGAGCAGGGGACGCTGACACCGTGACCCCATCCTCACCCCGGTGATCCTAACCTCGCCCCGCGACCCCATCCATTTGCCTGTTACCCTGACCGCCTTCCCGTGACCTCCCCTCACCCCGTGACCTCCCCTCCCACCCAGTGACCTCCCCGTGACCTCCCCTCACCCCCGTAACCCAGGTGCACCTCACCTCCGGCTTCACTGCGGAGGAGGACTTTGAGCTGTGCGCCACCGTGGGGGACCTCTCCCTCCCACCAGCGGGGTTCTTCGGGGTCTCAGCCTCCACCGGAGGGGTCCCGGGTAAGGGGCTCGGGGGAAGGGAGAGGTGAGAGGGGAGAGAGGTGAGTAGGGAGAGGTGAGAGAGTAGAGGTGAGAGGGGAGAGCTGAGATTTTAGAGGTGAGTGGTGAGAGGTGAGTAGGGAGAGGTGAGAGGGAGGCGGTGAGAGGGGCTCGGTGCGAGGGGAGAGCTGAGATTAGAGAGGTGAGAGGGGAGGAAGGAGAGGGATGAGAGGGATGAGAAGGAGTGTGAGAGGTGAGGAGGTGAGAGGGGAGGAAGGAGAGGGTTGAGAGGGTTGAGAGGGATGAGAGGGATGAGAGGGAGTGTGTGAGGTGAGATTGTAATTCGAGGATGGGGGTCCAGGAGCAGGGCCGGGTTTTGGGTGTGGCCCCACGTGACGCGGCCTCTCTCTTCCAGATGACCACGACGTCCTCTCGTTCCTCACCTACAGCCTCAGCGCGCCTCGCCGGGGGAAACGTGAGAGAGTGAAGGACTCGCAGCCACTCACCGCAGCCACTCACCGCAGCCACTCACCGCAGCCACTCACCGCAGCCACTCACCGCAGCCCTCACCGCAGCACTCACCGCAGCCACTCACCGCAGCCACTCACCGCAGCCCTCACCGCAGCCACTCACCGCAGCCACTCACCGCAGCCACTCACCGCAGCCCTCACCGCAGCCACTCACCGCAGCCACTCACCGCAGCCACTCACCGCAGCCACTCACCGCAGCCCTCACCACTCACGTCTCCTCACCTCACGACGCACCTCACTTCGTGAATAACTCACTGTACATCTCATACGCCTCACCTCACCCATCACCTCTCACACCCCTCACCTCCTGACCGAGGTTCACCCCTTGCGTCAGTTCATTTGCACCTCCACCGTCTCCTCGACCTCACCTTGACATAGCATGACCCTGACACTCACCATGACGTATCCTTAGCCCTGACCTAACTCGACCTTTGCCCTTATCGCAGCCATGAACCCTGCCTGACCGTCGCCTACGCAGAACCCGACATCGGTTGACCCCTGACTCTTGCCGCGGCTCTGACCCTGACCTCGCTGAACCTTCCCCAGGGGAGCGAGGTGACCCAGGAGGAGCAGAAGGAGAAACAGGAGGAGGAGGAGAAGGGGGGGGAGGAGGAGGAGGCGCTATGGAGGGAGGAATTTGCTCGCTACCAGGAGGAGCTGCGCCGTCAGATCGAGGAATTCCAGAAGGTCCACCCCACGCAGCACGGTACGAGGTCACTGGGGGTCACCGGGGGTCACCGGGGGTCACTGGGGGTCACGGCGGAGGGGGGGTGGGGTCCTTGGTATATCCTAAGGGGTCCTCCGGTATGGGGGGGGGGGTAACCATTTGCATCCATAGGGTCACCTGAGGTCCGAATGGATTCAGTTGTCCACTGCAGAGGTAATTTGTAGTCACCAGGGGTTCACGGGCGTCTACACATGGGCAAGAGTTCCACAGAGGTCATCGCAGGGTGCTCGGGGGTCGTTCCTAACCCCCGTGCCCCCCCCCCCCACTCCTCACCCCCCTCAGCAGGTGAGGGAGCGCTGGAGTCTCAGGCCGAGAGGGACCTGCGTCTGATCTTCGAGGGTCAGGCTCGCATCCAGGCCGAGGTGCGCGACGCAGCCAGGCTCCTGGGCTCCCTCGCCGAGGGGGTGGGGGCCGGGGGGGGCAACACCCAGGTGAGGGGGGCGGGGGGTGATTGGTGAGAGAGGTGAGTGGGTGAGTGAGCTAGTGTGCAAGGAGACGAGTGAGTGGGCGAGTGCTCGGGTGGCTGGGTGGTTGAGTGAATAAGTGAGGTTAATTCGATGGGTGAGTGAGCGGAAGGTGAGTGGGTGAGAGGGGCGAGTGGAGCGGGTGAGTGGGCGAGCGAGCAAGTGAGTCAGGTGAGGTAGGTGAGAGAGTGAGTGAGCGAGTCAGAAAAGCGAGACAGATGACACAGTGGCGAGATATTAACTACCTTGTCTGGTATATAGGAGATCGTGGGTTTGATCCCGACCCTGATGCCTGTGTAGTGGCATAGTGTAGTAGCACAGCGCTGGCTGCCTGCAGGGAAGGGGATTTGCGGCTCACGGCAGCCCTGACGTCAGCAGGCCACGTGACACACCAGAGGGGGATCTAGGGGAAGGTGACAGAAGGGGCACACCAAGAACCCGCTGGGAGGTTCCAGAAAGGGGGCGTGGCCGGGGGCGGAGCCAGGCCACGTGACAGTACAAGAGGGGCCCCTGTGGGGACCTCGGGGCTGTTGTTGGAGTGGGTTCCCCGTTGTGCTGCTGAAGTCGTCTTCACCGTCCTTCTCGTCGTCTTCACCGTCCTTCTCGTCGTCTTCACCGTCCGTCTTGTCGTTGTCTCCGTGTTCACCATCTCGGGGCGTCACCAGTGAGGCAGCCGACAGACTGACTGAGTAGCGTCGCCGACAATAGACGGACTAATTATGAAGAGTGTTAACTCCGATGGTGCTTGTTAATAAAGAAGTGCCTCCAAGTCTTATCGTCTCCGAGTTAGTCACTACATTTCACATCATAAGTGCTAAAGTAAAACAAGAAATTTGTCATGTCAAAGTCGGCCAAGAGAAAGAATCCACCGATAGTGTCCTCTGGAGATGAGGACGATGGGGATGCGATCCCCTCGACAGCCCCAGAATCCGGGACTCCGGTGATGTGTCTGGAGGCGGTGATACCTGCGGAGCAGCAGGAGAGGGATGTCGGGCCCTTGCAGCCGCCGGTCGGACAAGGGTGGCGCGACCTCACCGAGCGCCTTGCGGGCCTGCTCTCTGTCGCAGCGGAGCTGGTCGTGCAGCTCGGGTCCGCGGCGCCTGCCGAAGATACTCCAGCCCGAGGGCAGCAGGTGGACGGCTCATCTTTCACCGCTGCACCAGAGCGGGAATCGGCAGAGTTCCCGCCCACGTCGTCCAAGCGGGAAAGTCTTCCCGCCAAATTCGAGTCACCATCGGCGGCTTCTGCAGGGGCGCTGTCTCTATGGGAGCACCTGCCTGTGGCCGCGGGGGGTGACTGGACGGCTTTCCAGCGCCGCTTTAAAGCGGCTTGCACCCTGGTCGGGTGGTCAGACGTGGAGGTGCTACGGGCTCTGCCCACGGCACTGGATGACGACTCCCTGGCAGCGTTCGAGGCCATCCCCGAGGCTGACCGGGCAACTCTGCCTCGGGCATGCGCTCAGATGGCTGCTATTTTGTATCCACCATCCAACGCGCATCGAAGGTTCGTGCTGCGGAGGCAGGGAGAGGCCGAGAGGCCTCTCGCCTTCCGCAGCACGCTGCTGGCCTTGGGTGGCCCAGCATAGCCGCGAATGGAGCAGACTGCGCTGGTTTGCCTGGCGCCAGAGAAACTGCTGTCACTGTCTCAGGAATTAGGCGTCTCTCTTCCCGTCACGGAAGAGGATAACCTGTCGTCCCTAAAGGTCGCCCGCTGCATCCAAGCCCACGTTAACTTGCAGTGGTGGTCTGGGGTGGCTGCCTGCACGGGACTCCTAGAGGACGCGGAGGAGCCGGCGCCGCGGGAGCCAGAGTGGGCCTGTGCGTCGTTCGTCCAAGGTCCATGTGGGAGGAAAATTGAGGACCGACGACCGGAGCAGGAACGGCGAGAGAGGGGCTCCCTTCAAGCGTGGAGGTCCACGACCGCCTGCTTCAAATGCGGCCAGCTGGGCCACATCGCCAGGGCGTGTCGCAACGGCACCGGATCGCTCTCCTCGCCTTCAACGTCCTCCGCCCCGCCGACATCTGCTTCCTCGGGCCCGCAGGCGAGTCGCGATGCATCAGACACCCGGCCGCTAATGTCACATCATGCATCCCCGTTGTTGAGCACGTCGGGTTCGCACATCGTCATCCCTCGTCGTGTCACGGCGCACGAGTGACGGACTTTGGTGTCGACCGATCGGCAGCGGAGCGCGGGGCAGTGGAACACGTTGGCGCACCGTGTCGTGGTGGCGGCGGCGGTGGGGTCTTCTGCGGTAGTTGGGTTTGTTCAAGGGATAGAGGTGAGGGTGCTGATCGACACGGGAGCGTCGGCTACCATGATTTTGGAGATTATTTTTTAGTTATTGCCACCGAGGTCCGGTCGCTATTGCTTGTGTTGCCCCGAATGGCTGGAGTTTGGGCATTATAGGCCAAATATTGGCGAAACTCCACGTTGAGGACATTGAATTGATAGGGCCGGTGTTGGTTTCTAGGACATTGGCTGTGCCCTGTCTTTTTGGGCACTAATTAGCGTGGGAGGATGCCCCTTAAGATCCTTGGTGATCAAGGTTGTATTGAATTGCCATCGGGACGGGGGTTGGCCTTCCTGAGGTCTCCGACCTGGTTAGAAAGGGCCAACGCCATGGTTCAGGCCCTGGCAAAGGAAACTGTCACAGTTCCTCCAGGCGCTCAGATGTTGGTGCCCTTGGGGTTGCGGAAGCAAATTGATTTGATGGATACCGTTGAAGGGGTCCTTTTAACCCCTTCAAACAAGGCGATTCGGGGTCCGCGTTGGTGGGTGCCCAAACTATAGTAAGAGGGGACCAGGAGCCCTTTTTGCAAGTGCTGAACAACGGGCTTGGGCCTGCGGTGGTCCAAGCCGGTACAGTTTTGGCCCACGCAACGACCGCGCGCTGTGAGGAGGCTTGCGAAGAAGGCTGCAGAGGTCATTGCCGCGGTGGAGTGGGGAGGCAGGTCGGATGGGGCTTGGATGGACGTGTTGTGTGGGGGAAATTCTAAATTGTCCGGGGAACAGCGGGGTGAGCTGCATGCCTTGCTCCAAGAATTTGAGGATATTTTTAGCCAGGGGAAATTTGATATTGGCACACGTCACTATTGCAACATCGCATCGACATGGGTAACGCTGCTTCAAATACGGCAGAATTCGTACAGGCTCAGTCCCAAGGAAAAGGACGCCAGACAGTTGACGAAATTTTGGCTGCGGACATTCCACTAGTCCGTGGGGGGCTCCCATTTTTTCGTAAAAAAACTGGATGGAGTCTGCGCTTTTGCGTCGACTTCCGTAAATTAAATAAAGTATCTGTGGTGGACGCGTATCTGCTCCCCCGGATGAATGACTCCTTGGACGCCTTTTCGTGTAAACAGTTTTTCTCGACCCTCCAATTGTTGTCGGGGTTTTGGCAGCTGCCCTTGGATGAAGGATCCCGGTGAGTCTTAACTCTGCTCTGGCCACGTTTCAGCGGCTTATGGAATTGGTCTTAGCAGGTCTTCATTTACTTGGACGATGTAATTGTAATCGGACGCATGTTTCAGGAGCACCTGCAGCGGTTGTGGTCAGTGTTTATCGTGGTGCGAGTGGCCAATCTCAAATTTAAACCACAGAAGTGCCATCTTTTGCAAACATCGGTGCAGTATTTGGGCCACGTTGTTAGCAAGTCCAGGATAGCCATGGTTCCCGACAAACTGCGTGTGTGCGCACATGGCCACCCCCACGTCGGTGGGTGAAGTCCGCAGTTTTGTCGGGTTCGCGTCGTATTGTCGCTGGTTTGTCCCCAAGTTGGCGACGATCGCTAAGCCGCTCCACGGGCTCACTGCCTAGGGCCAGAGATTTCGGTGGGGGGAAGAGGCCATGTTTGACGCGCTGCGTGATGGCCTCGCCAATGCGCCTCCGCATGGATACCCCGATTTCTCTCTGCCCTTTGTGTTGGATACGGATGCCAGCGACACCAGAGTCGGCGCTGTACTGTGCTGGGTCGTGAACGGTGCGGAGAGGGTTGAGGCCTCCGGGAGCCGTGTGCTGTCCCCCGCAGAGCAGCGTTACTGTGTGACGCCCAGAGAATTGTTGGCCATAGTGCACTTTGTGCAGCAGTATAGGCCGTACCTTTACGGAAGGAACTTTGCCGTGCACACTGACCACGCGGCTCTTCAATATGCCTTACGGATTGACCAGCCTTCCGGCCAACTTTCCCGCTGGCTAGAAATGTTGCAGGACTACTCCTTCATGGTCACCTACAGGAAGGGTGTACGTCACTGCAACGCGGATGCTCTGTCCCGGTTACCACCGAGAGACCAGTGTGCGTGTCTAATGGGTGCTGGCCGATGTGAACCATCGGCTGCGGAATTGCCGTGCGCTGTTGTGGCATCTGTCGATGTACCACCACCCGCGACAACTGCTCCTTGTGACAACACAATTGGTCTCACGCACGCTGAATGGGGATGCCTCCAGGTAGAGGACGCCTCCTTGTTAAAGTTGCCACGTCGCGTAGGGACGAGATGCAGTACAAATATGCCAGTGGGAATGTCCCTTATAGTCCTCCATGACGGGCTTTTGATGAGGTGGGATGAGGAGCTGCACCATCATTGCATTGTGTTGGGGACTGCTCTGCGGGGTAAACTCACACGGGTGGTCCACTTGAAATTACTGCACCTTGGGGTGCGTAAAACTTTGCTGACACTGAAGCGTGACTTCTTTTGGCCCGGGATGACGGACGACGTGTACCACGTGGTCAGGGGATATACTGACTGCGCACGCCGCAAGCCACCTCCGAGGCAGGTCCAGCCGCCATTACAATCCGTCGCGGTGTCTCGTGTCAACGAGCTCGTTGCTCTGGACATCCTCGGGCCGTTTCCCGCCACTCAGAGGGGAAACAAATCCCTCCTCGTCGGGGTGGAGTCCCTCCTCGTCGCGGTGGAGTCCCTCCTCGTCGGGGTGGAACACCTGTCCCGGTGGCCGCTTGCGTGGCCAGATCAGTCGGCCGCCATTGCTGACGCATTTTTACACGGGTACGTTTTGGACAAACGGGCCCCAGAACAACTTCTTACGGACCAGGGGCACATTTTGTATTCAAAATTGTTAAAGGAGGTGTGCGATACCCTGGGAACAAAAAAAAATCCGAACATCGCCCTACCATCCCCAGACAGACGGGATGGTGAAGCGCTTGCACAGGACCCTCACATCCATGTTGTGCCAACAGGTTAATGAGCCACAGTTGGACTGGGGCTTACACGTTCCTAGTGTCCTGGCCGCATATAGGATGGCCCCTCACACCTCAACAGGATTCTCCCCATTTTAGCTCATGTATGGGAGGGAAAGTGACCCCCCCATTGAGGCTCAGTTGGGCATGGACCTGGGCAAGAGAGAAGGTCATTATGCCCATGCAGGTCGTGATTAGGCGGCTGACGGAGGCGTGGGAGGTGTCTCGAGGGAACCCGGCTAAACGACAGGCCGCGAATGAAAAACTCGTAGGGCAATGGGAGACTGGGACCCCATGGACCGCTGGGGGCAAGGTGTCCCCAGGTGCCCCTGGGTACGTCCCCTAAATTGCACCGGCCGTGGCAGGACCCTGTTGAGGTGGTTGAAGTCGAGCAGCCGCAGTGCGTGCGGATGCAGGTCGGTTGAAACCCAATATTCCACCCTGTGTTGACAGTTCATCTCCTGAGTGCCGGGTATCTGACATGTCTGACGAGCCGGGGCGGGCGAGCTCAGAGGTTACACCTCAGAAGGATTCCATTGTATCGCCCACAGGATTCCAGCGCCTGACGCCCGCAGCGCCTCCGAAGGACGGACCGGGTGTGAGGGAACGGTTGCCATCTTCTTCCCGGGAGGGGCCGCGCCCGTTAGGCCGTTTGCGTTGTGTCCCGGGGGGGTCCCCAGCACGCCAATTCCCATCCCAGCCGGGGGTCCGGCGGCGAGGACCCATTCAACAAGTGCTTCGTTTTGATGACCCGTTCTCTTTTCCATTCTCCAAATCAGCTCCGACGCCGTCTGGCGTGTGGCCGCAGACGCGAGGTGGGCTGCGGCTACCGGTTGACCCTGGGCCCTTCCCAAGGCTCGCGGGCTGCGGCACGCCGGCGGTCGTCGGACATTGTTTACTTTCTTGCGGTTCGGGTTCATTGTAAAGAGTTCTCGCCTAAAATTGGTGAGCGAGGCAGGTGAGCGTGGCAGGTGAGCGAGGGATTCGTCTTTTCCAGGCGCTGGACTCGCTGTTGGACTCTCAGAGGGAAATCCTTCAGCAGCTCAAGGAGATGAGGTGAGTCTGGAACTTCCGACGACTTCCTCACCTCTCACCTCACCTGATGACACCTGTCCCCTCAATGTGTAAGGATGCCTCCGCACCCTCCCGCCTTAATTGGCCCCTCCAATGATCTAATTACTTCCCCCCTCCCCCGGGTTAATGTGGGGGTCGCGGCGTTATGATCAGGGTCGCGAGATACGGATTGATCCCTCAATCGGCTTTAATTGGTGGAGGCGGGGCATGTGGGGATGGGGCATGTGGGGGCGGGGCATGGGGGCGGGGCATGGGGGTCCCGTGTCTCTGTGTTTCCGTGTCTCTGTGTGTCTGTATCTGTGTGCTCCCGTGTCTCTGTGTCCCCGTGTCTCTGTGTCGCCGTGTCACTGTGTCCCCGTGTCTCTGTTCTCCCGTGTCTCTATGTCCCCGTATCTCTGTTCTCCCGTGTCTGTGTCCCCATGTCCCCGTGTCTCTGTGTCCCCGTGTCTCTGTGTCCCCGTGTCTCTGTGTCCCCGTGTCTCTGTGTCCCCGTGTCTCTGTTCTCCCGTGTCTCTGTTCTCCCGTGTCTGTGTCCCCATGTCCCCGTGTCTCTGTCCCCATTTCCCCGTGTCTCTGTGTCCCCGTGTCTCTGTGTCCCCGTGTCTCTGTGTCCCCGTGTCTCTGTTCTCCCGTGTCTGTGTCCCCATGTCCCCGTGTCTCTGTGTCCCCGTGTCTCCGCGTAGTCTCCTCGGCAGCTGTCGGTGTTGCCCCTGGCCCTGGATTCTAATCTCGCCGAGTCGCAGGGCAGGAGGGCGCGAGGCCCCGGGGGATTTCAGCAGAAACACGACTCAGTCACGGGGTGAAGCGGGGGGTGACGTCACCACGGTGCTTGTGCCAGGCTAGGTGCATGTGTTCACGGGACAGGCCCAGGTGCCATGAGTTGGCAGTGCTCCCCCGCTGTGTCAATTTGCATGTGTTTTATCCGCCCGGCGCTTCACTCGTTGTTGTGAGCGTCGCCCCTTTCGCCCTCCGCTGTTGCGGGAGGGCGACTGCCTCCAACTGCCCAGTAGCAGCAGCATCCTTCACGAGCCTCCTCCACAGAGGCCGATCTTGACACCGCTGGTAACAGTCATCGGCAAGTCCACTCAGCTCCACGTCCTGCTGTACCACATCACTCCATATCCTCTCTAGGCCGTCCCGCGCCCATTTAGCCCCTTCTATCCAACAGCAGCGGCGATATGAAGACAATCAGCAGCATCAATACCGTGATCAGTAGCAGCGGCAGGGAGTTTTTAGTGTCCAATGTGAGTGAAGCAGCCGGCCGTGTGGTGTTTCCGTGGTGATTACACACCGCAGTATTTACCAGGGCGGCCGCTGGTTCCGAACCGCGAACCTCTGCAACAAGTGGCGAAGGCGCGTCACCGCCCCTACTGCCGATGATGAACCCAGAAGCCCCGCCCCCCACTGACCTCCCCTGCCACCCACTGACGCACCCCCCCCGCCCCCCCGCCCCCCAGGAGCATCGTGTCGGACACGTTCCAGCGTGCGAGCGCCATCCAGGCGGTGGTGAGCGGCGGCGGCGCGGAGCACGTGCAGCGGCTGTCGGAGCTGCAGCAGCACGTGGCCGTCGTGAAGAGGGACCTGGGCACGCTGGTCCAGGAGGTACGGGGACCCTCAACGCTCACCTCACGTGCCCTCGCTCGTCGGTAACACTGTGTGTCCCCAAGAAATAGACTGACTATGCGACAGGCGACGTTTCGGGCAATGGCCCCCTTTTCACAGCAGAGAATAAGTCTCGTCTCACGTGACCTCGCTCCTCACCACGGCCAGGTCCGTCCGCATGGCTGACCCGGAATATATTTCCGCAGCCCGCACACCACATCCAGTATAGCAGCACCAGCCCTCACCAGCTCCAGCCCTCACCACCCCTCACCACCCCTCACTAGCGCTACCACTCACTAGCACAACCTCTCACTCACAGCCACCCACGCCAGCCCAGCAGGCGACCCGCAGAATATCGCGAAATGCAACCGGAGTCCTCACCCCGATTCTGGCTCCTCACTGCACTCCTCACTTCACTCCTCACTGCACTCCTCACTTCACTCCTCACTTCACTCCTCACTGCACTCCTCACTTCACTCCTCACTTCACTCCTCACTGCACTCCTCACTTCACTCCTCACTGCACTCCTCACTTCACTCCTCACTTCACTCCTCACTGCACTCCTCACTTCACTCCTCACTGCACTCCTCACTGCACTCCTCACTTCACTCCTCACTTCACTCCTCACTGCACTCCTCACTTCACTCCTCACTGCACTCCTCACTTCACTCCTCACTTCACTCCTCACTGCACTCCTCACTTCACTCCTCACTTCACTCCTCACCCGACGTCGCCGCAGGCCGCAAGGGGGCAGTGCCCCCCGCCCCCGGCCTGCGTCTCCACCCTGAGCTTCATGCTCTTCTCCGGGATGCAGACGGCGCTGCTGCTGGGATACCTGGCCTACAGGTGCGGGCCCTCGCCCACCTACTCACCACACTCACCCAGCTACTCACCACACTCACCCAGCTACTGACCACACTCACCCAGCTACTCACCACGCTCACCCACCTACTCACCACGCTCACCCACTTACTCACCACACTCACCCACCTACTCACCACGCTCACCCACCTACTCACCACACTCACCCACTTACTCACCACACTCACCCACTTACTCACCACACTCACCCACCTACTCACCACACTCACCCACCTACTCACCACACTCACCCAGCTACTCACCACACTCACCCACCTACTCACCACACTCACCCACCTACTCACCACACTCACCCACCTACTCACCACACTCACCCAGCTACTCACCACACTCACCCACCTACTCACCACGCTCACCCACCTACTCACCACACTCGCCCACCTACTCACCACGCTCACCCACCTACTCACCACACTCGCCCACCTACTCACCACACTCACCCAGCTATTCACCACACTCGCCCAGCTACTCACCACGCTCACCCACCTACTCACCACGCTCACCCAGCTACTCACCACACTCGCCCAGCTACTCACCACTCGCCCACCTACTCACCACACTCACCCACCTACTCACCACGCTCACCCAGCTACTCACCACACTCGCCCAGCTACTCACCACTCGCCCACCTACTCACCACACTCACCCACCTACTCACCACGCTCACCCACTTACTCACCACACTCACCCACCTACTCACCACGCTCACCCACTTACTCACCACACTCACCCACTTACTCACCACACTCACCCACTTACTCACCATACTCACCCACCTACTCACCACACTCACCCACCTACTCACCACACTCACCCACCTACTCAACACACTCACCCACCTACTCACCACACTCACCCACCTACTCACCACATTCACCCACCACCTCACCACACTCACCCAGCTACTCACCACACTCACCCAGCTACTCACCACATTCACCCACCACTTCACCACACTCACCCAGCTACTCACCACACTCGCCCACCTACTCACCACATTCGCCCACCTACTCACCACACTCACCCAGCTACTCACCACACTCACCCACCTACTCACCACACTCACCCACCTACTCACCATACTCACCCACCTACTCACCACACTCACCCAGCTACTCACCACACTCACCCACCTACTCACCACACTCACCCACCTACTCACCACGCTCACCCACCTACTCACCACGCTCACCCACCTACTCACCACACTCAGCCACCTACTCACCCACCTATTCACCACTCGCTCACCACTCGCCCACCTACTCACCACACTCACCCAGCTACTCACCATACTCACCCACCTACTCACCACGCTCACCCACCTACTCACCACACTCACCCACCTACTCACCACACTCACCCACCTACTCACCACACTCACCCACCTACTCACCACACTCACCCACCTACTCACCACACTCACCCACCTACTCACCACGCTCACCCACCTACTCACCACGCTCACCCACCTACTCACCACACTCGCCCACCTACTCACCACACTCGCCCACCTACTCACCACACTCACCCACCTACTCACCACACTCACCCACCTACTCACCACACTCACCCACCTACTCACCACGCTCACCCACCTACTCACCACGCTCACCCACCTACTCACCACGCTCACCCACCTACTCACCACACTCGCCCACCTACTCACCACACTCGCCCACCTACTCACCACACTCACCCACCTACTCACCACACTCACCCACCTACTCACCACACTCACCCACCTACTCACCACGCTCACCCACCTACTCACCACACTCGCCCACCTACTCACCACACTCGCCCACCTACTCACCACACTCACCCACCTACTCACCACACTCACCCACCTACTCAACACACTCACCCACCTACTCACCACACTCACCCACCTACTCACCACATTCACCCACCACCTCACCACACTCACCCAGCTACTCACCACACTCACCCAGCTACTCACCACATTCACCCACCACTTCACCACACTCACCCAGCTACTCACCACACTCGCCCACCTACTCACCACATTCGCCCACCTACTCACCACACTCACCCAGCTACTCACCACACTCACCCAGCTACTGACCACACTCACCCAGCTACTCACCACGCTCACCCACCTACTCACCACGCTCACCCACTTACTCACCACACTCACCCACCTACTCACCACGCTCACCCACCTACTCACCACACTCACCCACTTACTCACCACACTCACCCACTTACTCACCACACTCACCCACCTACTCACCACACTCACCCAGCTACTCACCACACTCACCCACCTACTCACCACACTCACCCACCTACTCACCACACTCACCCACCTACTCACCACACTCACCCAGCTACTCACCACACTCACCCACCTACTCACCACGCTCACCCACCTACTCACCACACTCGCCCACCTACTCACCACGCTCACCCACCTACTCACCACACTCGCCCACCTACTCACCACACTCACCCAGCTATTCACCACACTCGCCCACCTACTCACCACGCTCGCCCAGCTATTCACCACACTCACCCAGCTACTCACCACACTCGCCCAGCTACTCACCACTCGCCCACCTACTCACCACACTCACCCACCTACTCACCACGCTCACCCAGCTACTCACCACACTCGCCCAGCTACTCACCACTCGCCCACCTACTCACCACACTCACCCACCTACTCACCACGCTCACCCACTTACTCACCACACTCACCCACCTACTCACCACGCTCACCCACTTACTCACCACACTCACCCACTTACTCACCACACTCACCCACTTACTCACCATACTCACCCACCTACTCACCACACTCACCCACCTACTCACCACACTCACCCACCTACTCAACACACTCACCCACCTACTCACCACACTCACCCACCTACTCACCACATTCACCCACCACCTCACCACACTCACCCAGCTACTCACCACACTCACCCAGCTACTCACCACATTCACCCACCACTTCACCACACTCACCCAGCTACTCACCACACTCGCCCACCTACTCACCACATTCGCCCACCTACTCACCACACTCACCCAGCTACTCACCACACTCACCCACCTACTCACCACACTCACCCACCTACTCACCATACTCACCCACCTACTCACCACACTCACCCAGCTACTCACCACACTCACCCACCTACTCACCACACTCACCCACCTACTCACCACGCTCACCCACCTACTCACCACGCTCACCCACCTACTCACCACACTCAGCCACCTACTCACCCACCTATTCACCACTCGCTCACCACTCGCCCACCTACTCACCACACTCACCCAGCTACTCACCACACTCACCCACCTACTCACCACGCTCACCCACCTACTCACCACACTCACCCACCTACTCACCACACTCACCCACCTACTCACCACACTCACCCACCTACTCACCACACTCACCCACCTACTCACCACACTCACCCACCTACTCACCACGCTCACCCACCTACTCACCACGCTCACCCACCTACTCACCACACTCGCCCACCTACTCACCACACTCGCCCACCTACTCACCACACTCACCCACCTACTCACCACACTCACCCACCTACTCACCACACTCACCCACCTACTCACCACGCTCACCCACCTACTCACCACACTCGCCCACCTACTCACCACACTCGCCCACCTACTCACCACACTCACCCACCTACTCACCACACTCACCCACCTACTCAACACACTCACCCACCTACTCACCACACTCACCCACCTACTCACCACATTCACCCACCACCTCACCACACTCACCCAGCTACTCACCACACTCACCCAGCTACTCACCACATTCACCCACCACTTCACCACACTCACCCAGCTACTCACCACACTCGCCCACCTACTCACCACATTCGCCCACCTACTCACCACACTCACCCAGCTACTCACCACACTCACCCACCTACTCACCACACTCACCCACCTACTCACCATACTCACCCACCTACTCACCACACTCACCCAGCTACTCACCACACTCACCCACCTACTCACCACACTCACCCACCTACTCACCACGCTCACCCACCTACTCACCACACTCGCCCACCTACTCACCACGCTCACCCACCTACTCACCACGCTCACCCACCTACTCACCACACTCGCCCAGCTACTCACCACGCTCACCCACCTACTCACCCACCTACTCACCACATTCACCCACCACCTCACCACACTCACCCAGCTACTCACCACACTCACCCAGCTACTCACCACATTCACCCACCACTTCACCACACTCACCCAGCTACTCACCACGCTCACCCACCTACTCACCACGCTCACCCACCTACTCACCACACTCGCCCAGCTACTCACCACGCTCACCCACCTACTCACCCACCTACTCACCACATTCACCCACCACCTCACCACACTCACCCAGCTACTCACCACACTCACCCAGCTACTCACCACATTCACCCACCACTTCACCACACTCACCCAGCTACTCACCACGCTCACCCACCTACTCACCACACTCGCCCACCTACTCACCACGCTCACCCACCTACTCACCACACTCACCCACCTACTCACCACACTCACCCACCTACTCACCACACTCACCCAGCTACTCACCACACTCACCCAGCTACTCACCACATTCACCCACCACTTCACCACACTCACCCAGCTACTCACCACGCTCACCCACCTACTCACCACGCTCACCCACCTACTCACCACACTCACCCACCTACTCACCACGCTCGCCCACCTACTCGCGACTGTGTTGGCTGTGACTATGTCGCCTGCGACTGTGTTGCCCGCGTGTTGCCAGGAGTCACCAGGATTCTGTCGCCAAGAAATTCTTCTGACCCCCCCCCGCCACCACCACCGTGACTCAACCTCGTCCCCGTGGGGTGGGGGCTGAGACCCCCGTGTGCGGGGGGAGGAGCAGGCAAGGTCGACGTGTGGGGGAGGGGTAGTAGGGGGACGGGGGGATCTCCACTCGTTCATGACCGTACGGGATTGATCACGTGGGAAATGTTTATTGTTGTTGTTGTTGTCGGCGTCGTCGTTAAAATTGAGAACAAAGCCTCCGTGGTGATGAGAGTGAGTGGCGTGCGGGCGGTGGGGGGAGGGGGTGACGTGTAGGGGGGGGGGGCTGCTGAGTAATCAAGGAGCCGGCTAATTAGCGCGCACGAGGCAATGAGCACACGGGTCTCGCTCGCGTCTCCCACCGGACCCCCCCCCCCCCCCGTGTAAAGGGGATCCCCCCCCCCTCCCCCCGTGACCCCTTCATCACGGCTGCACCCTGGAGAGAGGTTACGGGGACACGGGGACCCCCGTGATGAACCCCGGCTACCCCCACCCCCAGCCCCGCCCCCCCAGGAACTCATCACCTGACAGCAGCCGGGCCCCCCGTGACCCCCGTGACCCCCGTGACGACGTCGTCGCCTCCCCACGAACCCCCCAACGGGGTCTCGCTTGCCCCTCCCACTCTGCAGAGACGACCCTCGCCCTGACCCCTGACACGTAGACCAATCTGTGACCAGCTCCCACCCCCCCTCTTCCCCCGTAGCACCCCCCCCCTTCCCCCGTAACACCCCCCCCGCCACCGCATCACTCGAGTTTCCAGGAGCCCAGGACCCCCCACGACTTGAGCTTGACGTAGGCGAGGCCCAGGCAGGCGAACATGGCCACCAGCACGAGCACGATGGCCACCACGCGCCCCCCCTGGGGCTGGATGTTGGTGGTGAGGTACTTCTGCGGGCAGAGCAGAGCACAGCGGTGAGCTCAGCCCTCGCCCACCCAGCCTCGACAGACAAAGACTCCCCGTGTCGCCTTGACCCACCGACGGGGCGAGTGCTGTTAGAGGGCAGCACCTACGAAGGCCGGCACCGGCACACGAGGGGGTGGGTGGCCAGCACCACGCCCGGCCGCCTTTGTCTGCCTTCACTACCCACCGCTCCAGGTACTCATTTTAGGCTGAGTTGACCTCGGAGAAGCCCAGGATCGGTTCAGGTAATCGTCACTGGTGTTGGTCGTGAGCGGGAATCGAACTCGGGTCGCCGGGTTCGTAGCGCAGCGTGGCGCTGACCGCTGCATCACTCCCCATAGGCGACACGTCACACGCACGCACCCACACGGCGTTGCTCTATGATGCTCGGTGAACACGCTGCTGAAGCGGGCACAACGGAGCCCGCGTCCACTGCCCCCCTTAGCTGGCAGGGTCCGACTCGAGCTGAGGGTCGGGGGTGGGAGAATTCCTTGGTGGGAGGAACTTATTCCAATTCCCCCCCCCTTCCTTTCCCCCCTTCCCCCCCCTCCCCTGCCCTGCCCACCTGCCGGCCGGGCTCCTTGAACTGTAGCCGCTCGACCTCGCTGTCGTCCAGCACGCACACGCCGTCCTCCAGGAACATACTCTTGCACTTGGACGCTATCTGGTCAATCACCTCGTCCCTGGGGGGGGTGGGCAGGAGGGGGAGAAGGGGGGGGGCAGGGTGAAGGTGGGTGTGACATGAGCACAAGTGCGCGGGCGAATTTTCAAGTGAGTTCGCAGGTGAGCGGACAGCTGATTGTGGAGGTGAGTGTGGAGGTGAGTGTGGAGGTGAGTGTAGAGGTGAGTGTAGAGGAGAGTCGGTGAGTGGACAGCTGATTGTACAGGTGAGTGTACAGGTGAGTGTAGAGGTGAGGGAAAATGTGAGTAGGTAAGCAGACAGCTGATTGTAGAGGTGAGTGTCGAGGTGAGTGTCGAGGTGAGTGTCGAGGTGAGTGTCGAGGTGAGTGTAGAGGTGAGTGTAGAGGTGAGTGTAGAGGTGAGTGTAGAGGTGAGTGTGTATGCGAGCGCGCGATCTATAGTCGGGAAAGTGCGCATATGGTGATCGAGGTGTGCGTGAGACACAGGCGAGTGACGCGGATGAGCGCGTGGGTGAGTGCACGCGGTCATGTTCTGGTGGGTGAACAGGTGGGTGGACAGGTGGGTGGACAGGTGGGTGGACAGGTGGGTGTGCGTCACCCACAGGGGGCTCCACGGGGGGGGCACCTCCTCCCCCTCCTCGGCCTGGAAGCCCTCGGTGAGGAAGAACATGAGCGAGTCGAAGGTCACCTCGTGCTTCTCCAGGTTGAACGTGTACATCACTCCCTTGGCCAGGCTGCGGGCACGGGCGCGGGAGCGGTGGCGTGGTGGTTAGCACGCTACGGACACAGTTCGATTCACACTTCACGACCAATAACGGTGGCGAAATGTTTGATCCGGTTTCTGAGCCTCGCCTAGGTAGACTCAGCCTTAAATGAGTACGTGGCACGGTGTGTCACCATCACCATTGGGGAGACCAAGGCACTTGTGGTCACAGCCTGTTCAAGGCGACACCTTGTATGTGTGTGGGACTCCTTCCGCACCGCATGTCGCCGGTCGTGCTTCGTGCGGGGCCACACAGGAGCATACACACTGGACAGCAACAGCCGCCGTTCGCCACCAAGTGGTGGGGACGTCACCACGGCGCTTGTGCCAGGCTAGGTGCGCCTTGAGAACACCCAGGCGCACACGCAGCCACAGGTCGCTCATCTCCGTCGTACTGAGCCACGGGTGGAAATTCCTCATTCCCATGACGAGGACAGCCGACCTTGCGCAGAGTGGTATTGACCCGTCACGGATAATGATGAAGATGACGATGAGGAATGGTGGCAATGCTGCTGATAGTTGTATCGACTGCACTGATCAATCGTGTTGATGATGATGCTAATGGTGATGCTGATGATGCTGATGATGGTGATGGTGATCGTGATGATGGTGATGATGGTGATGCTGATGATGGTGATGCTGATGTTGATGATGGTAATGCTCATGATGGTGGTGATGGTGGTGATGGAAGATGAGAGATGTAATCGCTCTGAGCTCGTGTCCCGCCGTGACCTTGCCGTGACCTTGACGTGACCTTGACGTGACCTTGACGTGACTGGGACCTCACCTGCTGCCGGACTCCACGATGCGCTCGCTCCTGTGGTACTTTAGCTTCACCTCCTCCTGCTTGATCCTGGGGGGACGAGGGTGGGGGTGGAGAGGCGGTGGTGGTGGGGGTGTAACACGAAGCGGGGATCAGATGAGGTTCGGTGAGGGTGGGTGACCTCTCACCCCGGCCCCGTTCTTGCCGAGTGCCACCAACACGTGCTCACGCCGGGGCGTCCTGCTGCCCATTAGCCACGTCCTGAAGGGGACCCCCCTCCGTGTGAGGGACCCCCCCCCCCCCGTGTAGGGGACCCCCCCCCCGTGCTAAGGGGGTACGCACAGGATGATGGTGGGGAAGCAGCCCCGCTTGACCCCGAAGCGCTTGACCAGTCCCTCTGTGGTCTCCGAGTCCATGTCCACCACCCCCACCCGCGCCTCGCTGCGCGCCCTGCCACACACACCCCGCGCCACCATCACCACCACCAACACCATCAACACCACCAACATCACCACCAACACCACCAACACCACCACCATCAAGACCATCAACATCACCACCAACACCATCAACACCACCAACATCACCAAAACCACTACCACCATCAAGACCATCAACATCACCATCAACACCATCAACACCACCACCAACACCATCAACACCACCAACACCACCATCAACACCACCAACACCATCAAGACCATCAACATCACCACTGTCACTAACCAACACCATCAACATCACCACTGTCACTAACCAACACCATCACCGCCATCACCAACAAGTCCAACACCATACAAGACAAAGATCCCCCGTGTAGCCTTAATAGATTGTTGCGACAAGTGCTGTTAGCGAGCAGCTCTGAAGGGCGGCCACCCACGAGAGGGTGGGTGGCCAAGCACCACACCCGGCCGCCTTTGTCTCCCCAGTTGTGATGTTTTTTTTACACACAACAGGTACTTATTTGAGGCTGAGTCTACTTAGGGGAGGCCCAGGACCGGTTCAACACTGATGTTGGCCTTAATCAAGAATCTAACTCGGGTCGCCGGGTTTGTAGCGCAGCGCGCGAACAGCTCCATTACTGCTCCATCAGCAGCAGCAGCAGTGTCATTAGAATCAGCAGCGTCATTAGAATCAGCAGCGTCAACCATCACCATCATCATCAGTGGCCCCCATGCCACCCGCCCCACTCACTTGGCCGCCACGGCTCCCATCACGGGCACCAAGGGCCGCACCTCGTCACATGACGGCTCGTAGCTGCGGATTGAATAAAACACGTGGTGTGAGTGAGTACACGTGGTGTGAGTGAGTACACGTGGTGTGAGTGTGTGAGTGAGTACACGTGGTGTGAGTGAGTGAGTACACGTGGTGTGAGTGAGTACACGTGGTGTGAGTGAGTACACGTGGTGTGTGTGAGTACACGTGCTGTGTGTGTGTGAGTGAGTACACGTGGTGTGAGTGAGTACACGTGGTGTGAGTGAGTACACGTGCTGTGTGTGTGTGAGTGAGTACACGTGGTGTGAGTGAGTACACGTGCTGTGTGTGTGTGAGTGAGTACACGTGGTGTGAGTGAGTACACGTGGTGTGTGTGAGTGAGTACACGTGGTGTGTGTGAGTGAGTACACGTGGTGTGAGTGAGTACACGTGCTGTGAGTGAGTACACGTGGTGTGAGTGAGTACACGTGCTGTGTGTGTGAGTGAGTACACGTGGTGAGTGCACGTGCTGTGTGAGTACACGTGGTGACTGAGTACACGTGGTGTGTGTGTGAGTACACGTGACGTGAGTGAGTGAGTACACGTGACGTGAGTGAGTGAGTACACGTGACGTGAGTGAGTGAGTACACGTGACGTGAGTGAGTGAGTACACGTGGTGTGTGTGAGTACACGTGGTGTGTGAGTGTGTACACGTGCTGTGTGTGTGTGAGTGAGTACACGTGGTGTGTGTGAGTACACGTGGTGTGAGTGAGTACACGTGCTGTGTGTGAGTGAGTACACGTGGTGAGTGCACGTGCTGTGTGAGTACACGTGGTGAGTGTGTGAGTACACGTGTGAGTGTGTGAGTGCACGTGTGAGTACACGTGTGAGTACACGTGGTGAGTGTGAGTACACGTGTGAGTGAGTGAGTACACGTGCTGTGTGTGTGAGTACACGTGTGAGTACACGTGTGAGTGTGAGTACACGTGGTGTGTGTGTGAGTACACGTGGTGTGTGTGTGAGTACACGTGACGTGAGTGAGTGAGTGAGTACACGTGGTGTGTGTGTGTGTGAGTACACGTGGTGTGTGAGTACACGTGGTGAGTGAGTACACGTGCTGTGTGTGTGAGTACACGTGGTGAGTGAGTACACGTGTGAGTATGTGTGTGATTACACGTGCTGTGTGAGCACACGTGTGAGTACACGTGGTGAGTGTGAGTACACGTGTGAGTGTGAGTACACGTGTGAGTGTGTGAGTACACGTGTGAGTACACGTGTGAGTGTGAGTACACGTGTGAGTACACGTGTGAGTGTGTGTGAGTACACGTGTGAGTGTGTGTGAGTACACGTGTGAGTGTGTGAGTACACGTGTGAGTACACGTGGTGAGTGTGAGTACACGTGTGAGTGTGTGTGTGATTACACGTGTTGTGTGAGCACACGTGTGAGTACACGTGGTGAGTGTGAGTACACGTGTAAGTACACGTGTGAGTGTGAGTACACGTGTGAGTGTGTGAGTACACGTGTGAGTACACGTGTGAGTGTGAGTACACGTGTGAGTGTGTGAGTACACGTGTGAGTACACGTGTGAGTGTGAGTACACGTGGTGAGTGAGTACACGTGTGAGTGTGTGTGTGATTACACGTGCTGTGTGAGTACACGTGTGAGTACACGTGTGAGTGTGAGTACACGTGTGAGTACACGTGCTGTGTGAGTACACGTGTGAGTACACGTGTGAGTGTGAGTACACGTGTGAGTAGACGTGTGAGTGTGAGTACACGTGTGAGTACACGTGTGAGTGTGAGTACACGTGTGAGTGTGTGAGTACACGTGTGAGTGTGAGTACACGTGTGAGTGTGAGTACACGTGTGAGTGTGAGTACACGTGTGAGTACACGTGTGAGTGTGTGAGTACACGTGTGAGTACACGTGTGAGTGTGAGTACACGTGTGAGTACACGTGTGAGTGTGAGTACACGTGTGAGTGTTTGAGTGCACTCACAACATCACGAGCCACGTGGCCGGCGCGCCCTTCTGCTGGTTTCGAGTCGAGTTCTCGAAGTTGGCCCCGTGGAGTCGCTCGAGTCGCGCCCCCCGCGACTCCTCCACCCAGTCCACCACGGCCTGCGCCACGAACGCGCCTGCCGACGAGAGCCCCCCCCCCCAGTCGTCAGTCACGGGGAGGCGGGGGGGGGGCTCCATCGTGACAACACGCGCAGCAGCAGCAGCAGGCATCTGGCAGCACGCGAATGCCCTCCCCACGCGCTCGGCCACTCGCGCGTGAGACCTCCTGCCCGCAGGCGCGGCGCGGCCACTCGCGCGTGAGACTCCTGCCCGCAGGCGCGGCGCGGCCACTCGCGCGTGAGATCCTGCCCGCAGGCGCGGCCACTCGCGCGTGAGACTCCTGCCCGCGCGGCCACTCGCGCGTGAGACTCCTGCCCGCGCGGCCACTCGCGCGTGAGACTCCTGCCCGCAGGCGCGGCCACTCGCGCGTGAGACTCCTGCCCGCAGGGCGGCCCTCGCGCGTGAGACTCCTGCCCGCAGGCGCGGCCACTCGCGCGTGAGACTCCTGCCGCAGGCGCGGCCACTCGCGCGTGAGACTCCTGCCCGCAGGGCGGCCACTCGCGCGTGAGACTCTCTGCAGGCGGGCCACTCGCGCGTGAGACTCCTGCCGCAGGCGCGGCCACTCGCGCGTGAGACTCCTGCCCGCAGGCGCGGCCACTCGCGCGTGAGACTCCTGCCGCAGGCGCGGCCACTCGCGCGTGAGACTCCTGCCCGCAGGCGCGGCCACTCGCGCGTGAGACTCCTGCCCGCAGGCGCGGCCACTCGCGCGTGGAGACTCCTGCCCGCAGGCGCGGCCACTCGCGCGTGAGACTCCTGCCCGCAGGCGCGGCCACTCGCGCGTGAGACTCCTGCCCGCAGGCGCGGCCACATCGCGCGTGAGACCTCCTGCCCGCGGCGCGGCCACTCGCGCGTGAGACTCCTGCCCGCAAGGCGCGGCCACTCGCGCGTGAGACTCCTGCCCGCAGGCGCGGCCACTCGCAGCGTGAGACTCCTGCCCGCAGGCGCGGCCACTCGCGCGTGAGACTCCTGCCCGCAGGCGCGGCCACTCAGCGCGTGAGACTCCTGCCCGCAGGGCTCGGCCACTCGCAGGCGTGAGACTCCTGCCCCGGGCGCGGCCACTCGCGCGTGAGACTCCTGCCCGCAGGCGCGCCACTCGCGCGTGAGACTCCTGCCCGCAGGCGCGGCCACTCGCAGCGGAGACTCCTGCCCGCAGGCGCGGCCACTCGCGCGTGAGACTCCTGCCCGCAGGCGCGGCCACTTCGCGACGTGAGACTCCTGCCCGCAGGCGCGGCCACTCGCGCGTGAGACTCCTGCCCGCAGGCCGGCCACTCGCGCGTGAGACTCCTGCCCGCAGGCGCGGCCACTCGCGCGTGAGACTCCTGCCCGCAGGCGCGGCCCACTCGCGCAGTGAGACTCCTGCCCGCAGGCGCGGCCACTCGCGCGTGAGACTCCTGCCCGCAGGCGCGGCCACTCGCGCGTGAGACTCCTGCCCGCAGGCGCGGCCACTCGCGCGTGAGACTCCTGCCCGCAGGCGCGGCCACTCGCGCGTGAGACTCCTGCCCGCAGGCGCGGCCACTCGCGCGTGAGACTCCTGCCCGCAGGCGCGGCCACTCGCGCGTGAGACTCCTGCCCGCAGGCGCGGCCACTCGCGCGTGAGACTCCTGCCCGCAGGCGCGGCCACTCGCGCGTGAGAATCCTGCCCGCAGGCGCGGCCACTCGCGCGTGAGACTCCTGCCCGCAGGCGCGGCCACTCGCGCGTGAGACTCCTGCCCGCAGGCGCGGCCACTCGCGCGTGAGACTCCTGCCCGCAGGCGCGGCCACTCGCGCGTGAGACTCCTGCCCGCAGGCGCGGCCACTCGCGCGTGAGACTCCTGCCCGCAGGCGCGGCCACTCGCGCGTGAGACTCCTGCCCGCAGGCGCGGCCACTCGCGCGTGAGACTCCTGCCCGCAGGCGCGGCCACTCGCGCGTGAGACTCCTGCCGCAGGCGCGGCCACTCGCGCGTGAGACTCCTGCCCGCAGGCGCGGCACTCGCGCGTGAGACTCCTGCCCGCAGGCGCGGCCACTCGCGCGTGAGACTCCTGCCCGCAGGCGCGGCCACTCGCGCGTGAGACTCCTGCCCGCAGGCGCGGCCACTCGCGCGTGAGACTCCTGCCCGCAGGCGCGGCCACTCGCGCGGTGAGACTCCTGCCCGCAGGCGCGGCCACTCGCGCGTGAGACTCCTGCCCGCAGGCGCGGCCACTCGCGCGTGAGACTCCTGCCCGCAGGCGCGGCCACTCGCGCGTGAGACTCCTGCCCGCAGGCGCGGCCACTCGCGCGTGAGACTCCTGCCCGCAGGCGCGGCCACTCGCGCGTGAGACTCCTGCCCGCAGGCGCGGCCACTCGCGCGTGAGACTCCTGCCCGCAGGCGCGGCCACTCGCGCGTGAGACTCCTGCCCGCAGGCGCGGCCACTCGCGCGTGAGACTCCTGCCCGCAGGCGCGGCCACTCGCGCGTGAGACTCCTGCCCGCAGGCGCGGCCACTCGCGCGTGAGACTCCTGCCCGCAGGCGCGGCCACTCGCGCGTGAGACTCCTGCCCGCAGGCGCGGCCACTCGCGCGTGAGACTCCTGCCCGCAGGCGCGGCCACTCGCGCGTGAGACTCCTGCCCGCAGGCGCGGCCACTCGCGCGTGAGACTCCTGCCCGCAGGCGCGGCCACTCGCGCGTGAGACTCCTGCCCGCAGGCGCGGCCACTCGCGCGTGAGACTCCTGCCCGCAGGCGCGGCCACTCGCGCGTGAGACTCCTGCCCGCAGGCGCGGCCACTCGCGCGTGAGACTCCTGCCCGCAGGCGCGGCACTCGCGCGTGAGACTCCTGCCCGCAGGCGCGGCCACTCGCGCGTGAGACTCCTGCCCGCAGGCGCGGCCACTCGCGCGTGAGACTCCTGCCCGCAGGCGCGGCCACTCGCGCGTGAGACTCCTGCCCGCAGGCGCGGCCACTCGCGCGTGAGACTCCTGCCCGCAGGCGCGGCCACTCGCGCGTGAGACTCCTGCCCGCAGGCGCGGCCACTCGCGCGTGAGACTCCTGCCCGCAGGCGCGGCCACTCGCGCGTGAGACTCCTGCCCGCAGGCGCGGCCACTCGCGCGTGAGACTCCTGCCCGCAGGCGCGGCCACTCGGGGGCGTTGGGGCGACACCCCACCGAGCAGCTGGAGATGAGAAATTGTTTTTCTAATAAAAAAATACTTTTCTGTAAATTGTTTTGTTGTATTCTTGGTTATTTCGGTAAAGTCACGTAGAAGGGAAATAATAAAATAAGAACAATAAAAAATGTTCACGTTTCGACTGCAACACAAGCAATCATCATCAGGTGTGAAATCCACAGCAAGAAAATTTGAAAAAGTGTTTTTATTTTATTTTATTATTTCCCTTCTACGTGACTTTACCGAAAGAACCAAGAATATGAATCCCTGCAGTCACGAAAGCTTTAAATCAAAATTGTTTTGTTGTGTTTAAAAAATGTAAAAATATTATGAATCTTTCAACGTGAATTGCCGAATGAAGATAACATTTAAAGTTGTTCGTATTAGAAACCGCTGCAGCGCCAGAGGTCTCGTGGTGGCTGTGACGGCGTCCTCCGAGTGAGAGATCTCCCTTCATTCACTGCGATGAGCAGCTTCGAGCATCGTAGCCACGCCGTGTGAGAGCCACTCAGGGCAGTGGAAAGGGCGCCCGTGGCTGTCACGAGACGATGTCACAGCGCGTGGTGGCACCGCGTACATATAGCAGCTCGCGGTCTACACGCTCTCGGCTTTTGGCAGTGTCAAAGTGGGTGTGTAGTGTGGACTTGAGGGTCATGGGGACAGCATTTGGGTGCGTTGTTGTCTTGTTTAGGATTCATCTTCTTGGTTCTTTCGGTAAAGTCATCACGTAGAAGGGAAGTAATACAATAATAAAAATAAAACATAATAAAATAATTCTCACGACGTTTCGGCCACAACGCAAGCAGCCGTCCTCAGGTGAAGACCAGGTCTTCATGAAAGCTTTAAATCGAAATTGTTTAGGATTGTTTATAAATAAGAAAGTAATATCACTTTCACGGGAAGGCGAATGACATGACGAGGTTGTTCTTGATGAGGTCACTCACAACAGCCCCACCTCGTGGGCACGTCACGAGCCGCCTCTGCTGCCCTGGCGCCTTGACCTCTCACGGGGTCACTCGACATCAACCTGAGCCGGGAACTTGATGATGATGATGATGAAGCAGATTATGCTGTTGCTGCTACTGGTGCCGCTAAAGCTGCTGATGATCATTCTAGTGCTGATGATGCTGGTATGTTGAACTTCTTTCGCACCGTGTTTAGCCAAACGTGCTAATCGAAGGTGCGTGATGGTATGTGTATTGCTAGTGCCGATGATGCTGCTACTATTGTTGTCCGATTAACATCACCATCTGCATTACCTGGCTCACCGGATCTGAACTCTCTGACTCGCTGCTGCGATCATGGTACGACGACTGATGCCGCTGGCGGCGCCTCACCCTGGTACATCACGGGCGTGGAAGCGGCGAAGAGGACGAGGCTCGGGAACTTCCACTCGGCGTCGAGGCCGAAGGCGGGGCTCCCCCCGCGGTGCCTCCACACGGCCACGCGGCGCTCCGCGGGCCCCGCCGACAGCGCCTCGGCCGCCTCCTTCACCACGAGCAGCGACGCCTTGCACGTGGGGCAGCCCTCCTCCGTGTCTGTGGGGGGCGCAGGGCGAGGAAGGGGCCAGGTCAGAACAGTGGTTGTGCAGAGTTGATCATCAGATAACTATATAGAGTTGATAATACAATACTTATATACAGTTCATAATCAAACAAGTATGAAAAGTTCATAATTAAGGTTGTGGGGTCAGATCGCGTAAGTATAAATGTGTCGTAACCCTCCACCATCCAACACAGCCAGTAAGGTTTGTCACGTAAATAAAACGTGCAAATTAGTTACTAGTATAGTGTATAGTGTAGTGTGTAGTGTATAGTGTAGTGTATAGTGTAGTGTATAGTGTAGTGGGTAGTGTAGTGTATAGTGTAGTGTGTAGTGTATAGTGTAGTGTATAGTGTAGTGTGTAGTGTATAGTGTAGTGTGTAGTGTATAGTGTAGTGTGTAGTGTATAGTGTAGTGTATAGTGTAGTGTATAGTGTAGTGTGTAGTGTAGTGTATAGTGTAGTGTGTAGTGTAGTGTGTAGTGTAGTGTAGTGTGTAGTGTAGTGTATAGTGTAGTGTATAGTGTAGTGTGTAGTGTAGTGTATAGTGTAGTGTGTAGTGTAGTGTATAGTGTAGTGTATAGTGTAGTGTGTAGTATAGTGTGTAGTGTAGTGTGTAGTGTATAGTGTAGTGTGTAGTGTATAGTGTAGTGTATAGTGTAGTGTGTAGTGTAGTGTATAGTGTAGTGTGTAGTGTAGTGTATAGTGTAGTGTAGTGTGTAGTGTAGTGTGTAGTGTATAGTGTAGTGTGTAGTGTATAGTGTAGTGTATAGTGTAGTGTGTAGTGTAGTGTATAGTGTAGTGTGTAGTGTAGTGTGTAGTGTAGTGTATAGTGTAGTGTGTAGTGTAGTGTATAGTGTAGTGTATAGTGTAGTGTGTAGTGTAGTGTGTAGTGTAGTGTGTAGTGTAGTGTGTAGTGTGTAGTGTAGTGTATAGTGTAGTCTATAGTGTAGTGCATAGTGTAGTATACTACTTCAGCCCACCGGTGTGTTGGAGAGTAAATCCACAACATTTACAATTTGAGTAGCACTGTGACGTTTCGCTGGTAATTGCATCAAGCAGCATCATCGGGCGAGTTGCCAACACGCCGCTGGGTTGATGTAGTCAACGAATTGGCGCATTTCGTGTACGTGACCAACCTTACTTGCTGTCAGGTGGTGGAGGCTTACGACACATTTATACTTACGCGATCTAACCCCAAAAAAAACCTTGATTATGAATAATATTGGTCGCGAAAGCCTCCTGCATGTAAAACTTGATCATATAGAGTATTAAAACATAAGTTTCGCTGGCTGGAGGACGGACGAGGTGCAGTGAAGGCAGCAGCAGCAGCAGCCACGCGGTGGTGAGGTTCCGGGGCTACCAACGATTGCCCGAGCTCTGCGGGCCTCTATATATGAGAAAGTCTGTACCGGCTTACACGAGCGGAAGTCAATCGGAGCAACCGAAGAAATGCTACGGTGGGGCAAACGCTGTTCCCGCTACAGACGGGAACAGGTGGAGTCCACGTGCTCACTGAGCCACTTCTGGCGAACCCAGGCCACACGGCTCCTCCTCGACGCCCACGGGAAGGGAGTTTAAACCCATCTGTGCGTGATCCACCAACCCTGGCTGCTGCCTCCACAGTGCTGGACGACTAGCCACGTGCAGCGCAGCCACCACTGCCCAGCTGATGGTGGTGGTGATGATGATGACGATGGTGGTGGTGATGATGATGATGATGGTGGTGATGATGATGGTGGTGGTGATGATTGATGATGGTGGTGATGATGATGACGATGGTGGTGGTGGTGATGATGGTGGTGATGATGATGGTGGTGGTGATGATGATGGTGGTGGTGATGATGACGATGGTGGTGGTGATGACGATGATGGTGGTGGTGATGATGATGATGGTGGTGGTGATGATGACGATGATGGTGGTGGTGATGATGACGATGGTGGTGGTGATGATGACGATGGTGGTAGTGATGACGATGGTGGTGGTGATGATGATGGTGGTGGTGATGATGACGATGGTGGTGATGATGATGATGGTGGTGGTGATGATGATGATGGTGGTGGTGATGATGACGATGATGGTGGTGGTGATGATGACGATGGTGGTGGTGATGATGACGATGGTGGTGGTGATGACGATGGCGGTGGTGATGATGATGGTGGTGGTGATGATGACGATGGTGGTGGTGATGACGATGATGGTGGTGGTGATGATGATGATGGTGGTGGTGATGATGACGATGATGGTGGTGGTGATGATGACGATGGTGGTGGTGATGATGACGATGGTGGTGGTGATGACGATGGTGGTGGTGATGATGATGATGGTGGTGGTGATGATGACGATGGTGGTGGTGGTGATGACGATGGTGGTGGTGATGACGATGGTGGTGGTGATGATGATGATGGTGGTGGTGATGATGATGATGATGGTGGTGGTGGTGGTGGTGATGATGATGATGATGGTGGTGGTGATGATGACGATGGTGGTGGTGGTGATGATGATGGTGGTGGTGATGATGATGATGGTGGTGGTGATGATGATGATGGTGGTGGTGATAATGACGATGGTGGTGGTGATGATGGTGGTGGTGATGATGATGACGATGGTGGTGGTGATGATGATGGTGGTGGTGATGATGACGATGGTGGTGGTGATGATGATGATGGTGGTGGTGGTGATGATGACGATGGTGGTGGTGGTGATGATGGTGGTGGTGCTGATGATGTGGTGGTGATGATGATGGTGGTGATGATGATGACGATGGTGGGTGGTGATGATGATGGTGGTGGTGATGATGATGATGGTGGTGGTGATGATGACGATGATGGTGGTGGTGATGATGACGATGGTGGTGGTGATGATGACGATGGTGGTAGTGATGACGATGGTGGTGGTGATGATGATGGTGGTGGTGATGATGACGATGGTGGTGATGATGATGATGGTGGTGGTGATGATGATGATGGTGGTGGTGATGATGACGATGATGGTGGTGGTGATGATGACGATGGTGGTGGTGATGATGACGATGGTGGTGGTGATGACGATGGCGGTGGTGATGATGATGGTGGTGGTGATGATGACGATGGTGGTGGTGATGACGATGATGGTGGTGGTGATGATGATGATGGTGGTGGTGATGATGACGATGATGGTGGTGGTGATGATGACGATGGTGGTGGTGATGATGACGATGGTGGTGGTGATGACGATGGTGGTGGTGATGATGATGTGGTGGTGGTGATGATGACGATGGTGGTGGTGGTGATGACGATGGTGGTGGTGATGACGATGGTGGTGGTGATGATGATGATGGTGGTGGTGATGATGATGATGATGGTGGTGGTGGTGGTCATGATGATGATGGTGGTGGTGATGATGACGATGGTGGTGGTGATGATGATGGTGGTGGTGATGATGATGATGGTGGTGGTGATGATGATGATGGTGGTGGTGATAATGACGATGGTGGTGGTGATGATGGTGGTGGTGATGATGATGACGATGGTGGTGGTGATGATGATGGTGGTGGTGATGATGACGATGGTGGTGGTGATGATGATGATGGTGGTGGTGATGATGACGATGGTGGTGGTGGTGATGATGGTGGTGGTGATGATGATGGTGGTGATGATGATGGTGGTGATGATGATGACGATGGTGGTGGTGATGATGATGGTGGTGGTGATGATGATGGTGGTAGTGGTGATGATGATGATGGTGGTGGTGATGATGACGATGGTGGTGGTGATGATGACGATGGTGGTAGTGATGACGATGTTGGTGGTGATGATGACGATGGTGGTAGTGATGACGATGGTGGTGGTGATGATGATGGTGGTGGTGATGATGACGATGGTGGTGGTGATGATGATGATGGTGGTGGTGATGATGACGATGGTGGTGGTGATGATGATGGTGGTGGTGATGATGATGATGGTGGTGGTGATGATGATGATGGTGGTGGTGATGATGATGATGGTGGTGGTGATAATGACGATGGTGGTGGTGATGATTGATGGTGGTGGTGATGATGATGACGATGGTGGTGGTGATGATGATGGTGGTGGTGATGATGACGATGGTGGTGGTGATGATGACGATGGTGGTGGTGATGATGATGATGGTGGTGGTGATGATGACGATGGTGGTGGTGGTGATGATGGTGGTGGTGATGATGATGGTGGTGATGATGATGGTGGTGATGATGATGACGATGGTGGTGGTGATGATGATGGTGGTGGTGATGATGATGGTGGTAGTGGTGATGATGATGATGGTGGTGGTGATGATGACGATGGTGGTGGTGATGATGACGATGGTGGTAGTGATGACGATGTTGGTGGTGATGATGACGATGGTGGTAGTGATGACGATGGTGGTGGTGATGATGATGGTGGTGGTGATGATGACGATGGTGGTGGTGATGATGATGATGGTGGTGGTGATGATGATGATGGTGGTGGTGATGATGACGATGGTGGTGGTGATGATGATGATGATGGTGGTGGTGATGATGATGATGGTGGTGGTGGTGATGATGATGATGGTGGTGGTGATGATGACGATGGTGGTGGTGATGACGATGGTGGTGGTGATGATGATGGTGGTGGTGATTGATGATGATGGTGGTGGTGATGATGATGATGATGGTGGTGGTGATGATGATGGTGGTGGTGATGATGATGGTGGTGATGATGATGGTGGTGATGATGATGACGATGGTGGTGGTGATGATGGTGGTGGTGATGATGATGACGATGGTGGTGGTGGTGATGATGATGATGGTGGTGGTGTTGATCGGACAAATGTCGTTGGTGATGCCGCTGCGTTGGCAGTGGTGCACAAACAAACCACTCAGCACGTCCCGTGTCAAGAGCAACGCTGCGTGTGTGTGGCCTTAAAAGGAAAAATAGAACAGGCGACGTTTCGAGCAATGGCCCCTTCATAGCAACAACAACAAAAGCGAGCCATTGCCCGCAACGTCGCCTGT